TTATTGACACTTTCCTTCATAAGTCCCAAACCATTTTCTATTGGATTAGGTCAGGGCTATAGCTTGGCCAATCTAATAATGTCATATTTTGGGTCCGAAACAAGGCCTGTGAATGCTTTGAACGATGTTTTGGGTCGTTGTCCTGCTGGAAAATCGAAAAAATTCCATAGAACACGTGAGCAGATGGAAGTAATGTCCCTCGAGAATATCTGTGTACCGCTCACTGTTCATATTCCCTTCAAATACACAGAGGGACGTTGCCCCTAACACAGATATGCCACCCCACACGTTAAATTTCGGACTGTACCTTGGGCGCTGATACAAAGGTTTTTCAGTTTGTTTGGTCCAGAATTTCAGTGTATTAGGAAACAGCCACACAAAACTTTCATCTGAGAAAATCACATTGTCCCAGTTAAAATTTCTATGCTGTAAGCACCAGTTCAACCTTCGCTCCTTTTGTTCAGGTTTCATGATCGGTGATGGAATTCCTCGACTTTTCTGCCAACCCATTGCATGCAGCTCAGTTCTAATTGTCGCCTTACAGACAGCCACAGTTCCTCTATCAATCATATCCAGCCTTAAGTTTTCTAAACTCCTTCGTTTGTTTTTAGAAACAAGAATACCAAGCCGCCTCCTGTCACCGACAGTCAATTTCCTGGGCCTACTTGCGCCTCCCTGGTGCTCAATGCCATATCCATTTGCAATATTTTTTCAAAACACGATAAACAGTGGACAAAGGGATGCCTGTTCTACTTGAAATCACTTTAGCTGATCTGATGTCCTTGCTATAATACTCTAAAATCAACTTCCTCTTCTCTAAATCATCCATGCTGAGGATCACTGAAAATGTCGTCTGCTAGCAAGTAAACAAAGGGGGATAACTCTTCACAAACTAATGAAAAAGGATTAACGGAGTTGTCTCTCTTGAATGAAACCAAGCACTTGATAGCTGGTCAAGGTTGTTTATACTAGAAATCCAATTAAACATATTCCTAAAATTCTCAATAATTTCTGATCATACAAAACCTGTGCCTCTGATCGACCCAGGAATATCCGGGTTACAATTGATCTTCACTAACTCATGCTTGTTCTATGAAGCAACTAACGGGATCTGGTGGTCAGACTCGCTGGACTTGGTTGACACAGTTCATCGTATCCCAATTACGCAAACTTGCAATTCAAAACGATATGTCTGAATGTCCCACTTTTATCATCCGAATTCTAATAACAACAGCTATAAAACACTGGCATATAACACATTGTACAAAGCTCCCCCCGCAATCTAGCCAAAGAAGGACTTTCCTCAACAAAGAGTCACAAATTCCCAGTCAGGACCGTGACGTTAGTGTCACGTTCAGCTGTGATATTGCCTCTGTGGAATTACTGTAATTAGTTTTCTTACATTACCCCCAAGAGGGACTCTTGTCATATTTTATTGACATTAAATGTAAAATGGATTGGGTAAAAGCTTTCCAGCTTACATCATGTCCTTTAAATAAAGGCGTATGAAGTTATTGAAATATTAAACAGTGCAATACTTGCATGTGAATAATAGCATTAAGAATTAATAACAAAACATAAACAACTACCCGTGAAGATCCGGGTTAGAATTGGTCTTCAGCAACCCTTGAAACGACTAACGGTATCGGGTGGTCAAGCTCTCTGACTTGGTTGACACATGTCATCGTATCCCTATGGCGTAGATCGATGCTCAAGATGTTGGTCACTTTAATGTCTGGTCCAGACTCGATAATTTACAGACCGCCGCCATATAGCTAATTGCTGGGTGCGGCGTAAAACAAATAAACAAAATCAATAAAATGTAAACGTCTTTGAGATTAAATTGTATAAAATGGAATGTTGTTGACACTTATGAGGATGTTGTGTATTAATAAGCATGTTTGATCACCATAAAGAATCGTGCGACTCGAGAAATAACCGCCAAGTAATAAAATCTTTTTATATAACATCTTAACCGTCGTTGACATAGAATAAGCAATATAATCAGTTAAAAAGTATGGAAGTCGCTTAAATGTTATAGTATACAGTCCCCTACCACTAGGCATACATAACAGGCACCGGTTTAACGTTACCTCAAATATATACCACACTCGTACTTTCCCCCAGACACCGACTTAACCATAAGGGGTGGGTTCCTGGACGTGCCATTGCCCTATATCTCCCAGGGGCACACCTGACTTAAGGGTGTGTAACAGGGGTGGCATCAGAATACCCGGGTGTATCGGGGCAGGGGTGGAGAGATGATGGCCATGGTCTTGACAGTTGTCCTTTGTCACAGATATCGGTGGACGTGCGCGAACATCAGATTGGGTTCATCTTTGTCGACCTGTGCGAATTGCCTTTGTCAATTACGCGGTGATTTGTCATGCTGCCGGTGACATTGAGGTACATAGTACTTTTGCGCATAATTCTCACTGAGGTGCCGCAGTCTGAAATTCAATATTGGAAGGGTATCGCATATCGTTAAGTGTAAACGGAGTCACCAAACGCGGGCACTTGTCAATGCGAGTATGTTTGACATCCACAACGCTCGAGCCAGAGAGCAGGCAATCGGTGTAGGAGGTCAGACTCACGCACAGAGCATGTACTTGAAATATTTGATTTTAACGAAGGAAATATCATGACCTGTGCAAACTTGAACGGCTTTTGTTAGTTACAGGGACGTTTGAAGTTGTATAGTGTATGTAGACACCGCTATCACGCGATGGTCTCGTATGTGTCCTGAGTCCCTCCACTGCTGTTTGCTGAAGATAGAATTACGTATCTTACACCTATGTTTTATCGTACATGTCTAAGAACTGTTTACCTAATTGACATTTTAATTAGCATGGAGCGTGGTTCTTTAGAAAGACGGAAAGTCTACTTGGGCTAAATTACACACAAAAGAAAAAGAAAATATTAGCTGTTAAGACTGGAACAGAAATCGTTTTTACAATACACCTGTTGACCATCATCATATTGTGTGAACGTTTTCTTCCCCAAACGTCGAGATCAGCCCATGTAGTGTCAAAATCTTTATTATCAAACTGTTTGGTGTTAGCATGACCTCTGAGCAGAAACTAGACGCCTTAAAATAATTACAGCGTTGTAATTAGCGTGTAACCACGTCGACGGGAATCGCGTTACTCCACCTTATGGAGGAGGTTGGGTAGCCTGGTGGTTATAGGGATCGTTCGTCACGCTAAAGTCCTGGGTTCAAATCCAAAAGCGGGTATAACGCGTGAAGCAATTTTTAAGGATCCCAACAGGGATATTGCGGCAATATTTCTGAAAGCGAAAAAAGTGTCGACGTCATCATTGGATCAATCGTCGTCATAGAGACTAATCTCATCGAGACATGCATCTGAGACTTTCTGTTAGGGTCTTTGGTTTGTACAAGATGGACCAGTGATTAGTCTATGTATTCCAGGTTACAAACCTACATGATCCGCTGGGAATGTTCCAGGATTTTATACTTGTCGTGGGATCTTACGACTTAATTTATCCGTTCTTCAAGCTCAGTAACTTCTTTCCGTCTGTCCAGTTTGCTAGTTATATAACTGCTGATACTGTAGAACCTTGTACTACCCACCGAGGCTTCTGAATCAGCAGGGCCGATCACATGACTCTGTGACAATGTAGAACCATGTACGACCAATCAAGATTTAGTATAATCAATATGTTATTGTGACAGTGTTATCCAAATTAGCCATATTTTTCAGCGGGTACACGAAGTCCGTGGTCTATTCTACCAGTTGTCCGACTTCCATTTTGGTGGAAGCCGCGTTGGCTGGGTGGGCTAGACGGCTTACTTTCTGGGCTGGCGATTAGGTGCCTGACCCTGAGGTGAGGTGAGGTGAAATTGGGTTTAACGTCGTGCTTGAGAATATTTCGCTCATATGACGACGTGCATGCGTGTGTATGTGTATGTGCGGCTGCTTGTACTAGCCCAGACTTAAGCTGGTTTTATAGTGCTAGCCCACTGAGATACCATGCCGCAGTGAAGCATGAATACCCCACTCAGACACATTACACTGACTCCGAGCCGACCAGTCCTTTTTGTACCCATTAAAGCCGAGCGCCAGGCAGGGACCAAAAAGTACCATATTTTAATGTCTTTAGGTATGACGCGGTGGGGATCGAACCCGCGACCTTCCGTTCTCCAGACGGACGCGCGGACGCTTTAACCACTACACCAAGGAGGCGGTCGCCTGACCCTGAGAGTGTTGGTATACTAGAATCTGTACTTTAATGAGAAAGTGTAATCCCAAATATAACACGTGACACAATTTGTGAAAGTAATGCTAGCATTAAAAATTATTACCCAATTTCAAATTCAATTAGCTTCGAAAAGTCACTATAGTTTTTTCCAAAAATATGTTTTCTGCTGAGGTATGTATAAAATAAACCAGAACTGCAAATCATGAGTCAAATATTATGACGTGGATAACGCCAATCTCACAACCTCAAAATGTTATTGATATTATGTTATTGATATTATATCTATTACATTTGATGGTCGTATCGATGTACAGAATCTGAAAAATCGACATTGTAGAGTCTTGCACAGGTCGTCAGTCTCGCCACCAGCCTGTTGTTACCCTGACAGAAACCTGCATATTCCAGCAGGTCTACAGTGTACCCTTCAGATCTTGCCCTTTATGTAATGTCAATGTTATCCAAATGAGCTGTATGCAGTTGTAACTGTACAAGCGATGATGTGTTGGGTTTTTTCACTTCAGGTGTCAAATATCAAGTTAGTCAAACATGGACGTACGTTTTCATGCTGGTCTGGTTTCAAATTCTGCATCTGTCTTTGATTTGGAAATATTGTGGGATCAGCATATATCCCTTTGAGTTCAGTCATATATTCAAGTATGAAACATGAACACAAATCCAATGTGATGATATCAATAGAGTTCAGTTGATATTGTGATAAATAACAATAATAATTACCACATCTGAGATAAGAGGTCGACTTGACACAACAAACACACATCTGCCATTTGATCCTTTTATTACAAATGGATGATAGTAATTATTTTTGCATGGAATTTTTTCCATTTTGTAACAATGTCGAAAACAATCATTTCATATAAGTTTCCATCCCAATTAACTACATGATAAGTTACAATATTTTTTTGGTTTTTTTTGTGAATTAAATTACAAAAATTACAATGTTATATGCAATTATACAATAATTGCTCTTAGAAATCTGACCCACAAATGTATTTTTTTCTTAAAAAATATATTTTAAAAAGACAAAGTGTTGGGTGTAGCTACACTGGTGTATCACAAAATGCTTAATCAGCTATACAATTTGAGAAAGCAACATAAGCATGCTTCAAAACAATAACTTAAAAACCAGCGCCCATAGTGCACATAATGCAAGGTAAATGCATCTATTGATGAAACAGCTAACAAGGCTTCTACAGGCTCAATAAAATGTCAGTAACATTTTAAAAGTATCTCTTCAATAGTAACATGATAACGAGTGGAAGGGTATTGAATAACAGAAACTGGGTCTAACAATAGAAGGCACCATTAAAAGACAAGGAGGTAAAATGCTTCCTTGTGCAACACCTTTACACATAACAAAGGTAGCTGTTGTACAAGGCTAAACAGCAGTAAACTAAAACATGTGCATTTACTGTGTATAATACAGTGCTGGTACATAGGCGCAGTTAATGGTTTCAAAATATCGCACCACTCTGATACATTATATACCAGTTCTACACAATAATGCCACTTGTTACATTGTCAAATATGGTAGACTGCTTGATCATTTGTTCTGCACAGACTTTAATCTAAAATATATGTCCATTAATATCATACATTTCAGATTTAAGTACAAAATATGAATTCTAAGCTTTTACATTTGACAAGTGTTCTGTCTTAATTGAAAATTGAAATGGATGCTGTAAGTCTAGTTATTCCATGCCCTGTAAGACAACATGGGAAATACAAAGCAGGAACATCTAGAACCAGTCTTTAAATGTCATACAAGCAGTAATTCCATGTCTTGCGTCACCACAAGAGCAATACTTATTTGGAACATCTATGACAAACTACACAGGTCATACAAGCAGACTGAAGCAGTGATTCCGTGCCTTGTACAACCACAGGGAATACACAGTAGGACGCACGTAGCTAGGACTGGGCTACTCGGAAGCAGAGCTGTAAAAGTAGGAGACATGTAGTACACAGTAGCAGCCCACAATGCATCACAGTTTTGGCTACCATGAGGCTGTAGTGGAGGGCATAGTGAACATGGGAAGACAAACTACATGAGAAAAGTCGCTGATCACAATTTGATCAACACAAAACACTGCTTGCTTTCGCTGAGGCCAAAAACCTAATAATTTGCATTTGTCAAAAAATAAAGATTCATTTTCGAGAGAAAAAAACAAGGAATGTTAAAATGAAGGAATTCACTTGATAGTTGCTATAAAAGTCTCTCTCAAAGAGCCATTTGCGAAAAGTCAAGATTGGGAAAATGTTTCGAATACCTTCAATGAGAATTGATAATCCGTCCATCATCATAATGCATATGTGTCTCATAGTTGTGGGGTCGTGTCCAAGCCGAGAAGTGCGTGTTACAAGGTGAATGCACTAAACACTCTTGTTTAGCTTCAAATTGTAAGTAGTCCAATAAACAAAACACACATGTCCATTACTAATGCTAGAAAACTGTCAGAGCAATAGAATGATATGTTCTCTGCTATGTCATCAAGTGCTAAAGGTATTTATATTTCAATCATGAAAAAATAATTCTTGTCATTATGATGGGAAATCGACATACCATACATATTTGCATATCCACTGTGATATGTGTCAATAGTCCTTTTAAACCCTATAGTGTAGTGTTCATGTCACCTCAGTCTCAAAGTAAATCTAAAACTCCTAGATTAAATACTTTTAACATGCATTAAGAAAAATCCAAACAACTGAGGAGTTTGCACATAACAAATAATATTAGTTGTCTTCCTTCAGATGCCCACACAGAATTGCCCTTTCAACAAAATCAACCGCCTATGGTAGTCGCATTCATAAAAATTGGAAAATTTCCTGATCATTTCAAGGCACATCCAGAAACACAAATATGATTCTTTCATCGAAAACTGTATCCTAACAAGACTATCTCTGTCACAGTCACAAGAGACACTGTATCAGATAAACTACAGGTAAACCAAAGGAAATCCACAGGTAAACCACAGGAAATCCACAGGTTAACCACGGGAAATCCACAGGTTAACCAAAGGAAATCCACAGGTTAACCACAGGAAATCCACAGGTTAACCACAGGAAATCCACAGGTTAACCATGGTATATTGCACTGCTGGTTATAGCTAACTTGTTCATAAAAAATGCATTGCTTTTGTACAATGACTCTCATCCCAAGATGATAGTAATAAAATAATTATAAATGTGACTCCACATCTCCAAAGATCTCTTCTTTCAGTCGTCCATCCATTAACTGGGCTTGTTTGTTCATTAAGCTACAATTATTCCTGTACAATTGCCTTGTAATATTTAAAGGCAATATCATCGTGAATAATAATAGAAACTCTACGAGACATAAGCATATGTTTGTAAACTAAAATAGGTTTGTTTTGATTATACGATAATAAAATAAGGTGTATAAAATTCCCTAGCACATTTTCGGTGACTGTACAGTAACTGACATGGCTAACGCCACCTGTTACACATCCGTGCTCTGCCCTCCCATCTTCCCATCCACCTGAACACTTAGTGGTGGGCTGGGATGGGCAGCTCAGAATCCTCAGTCTGATCATCCTCCTGGATTCAGACTCTGAGATCCTTGTCCAATCCGGTAGCTTAGTCACAGGCACCAAGTGCCCACAATGTCATGGTTGACGCCTGTATAGGCGTCAAAAGTATGATGCCGACCCAGGTCACCACGTGTGACACCTGGGGTCAGACACCTTTGTCCCTATCAAAGGGAGGTAAGTCAAGTAGGTGAGATACCATCATGTGGTTTCTCTGTAAGTCAAATCAAGGTTCACCCCTATGCACAGAATCATTGCTGTCAGTTCTGCAGCCACATCCACCATCACATCAACACCATTTGACAGGTTCTGTATTTGCCGACTTCCTTGAACCTCGACATCCTTGAACCTCAATATCCTTAAACCGAACTGATGGAGTGACATGTTTACCGGAACAGCTCTTGGCAGCCTGATCAGCGCAATCTTCCATTAACTTCAGCGCAGCAAGGGCTGCCGACGTCTGCCGTGCTGCAACGCTCAGGCAGAACCGACATCTGCCGCTCTGTAACGCCCAGCCAGATCCGACGTTTGCCGCAGTGTAACGCCCAGCAAGCCACAGATCCCACCTCAGGAGGCGCTTCCTCTTCCTTTATAGATGTCCATGGTAATATAAATATACGGTAAACGAAAACTACACAACAAACATGGTCGTGACAGACCCTCCCTACACGAACGTACACAGCAATTTGTGCGTGTTGCAGTAAGTGATGCTATCTCACAGCCTCCTGTTTAGCCTGGATCTGATGGTCTAGCCTGCCTCTGTCTACACCATCACAGAGGCGGTACTCCACATCACAGGGCAAAAGAGTCCTGAAACAAATAGCAAAACATGTTAGCCAAATTGAACAGCTTCATGTTATTATTAACACCTTTTCATATGATTATTGCAATGGACAAACTCAGCAATTACTCGTGCAATGAAAGTATTACATGTTTTATATGCATCATGCAGTGATACTTATGCACTGAAACACGTCTCCCCATTAGTAAGTACCGGTAGTCCTCTTTCTGAACAATGTCTGTCTTTGAAGATATATAGAATTCTTTTAATACTTGACTCATTCAGATTTTACCACATTCCAACCATAAGAGGTGACACCCAAAATGTACTCATAGAGTTCCACCAAGTGGGGTAGTCAAAATAACCCTTCAATCTCTTGGCCCCTAACAAAGAATACCATTCACACATATGGAATTAATTAAATCTGCTGTTTGAAAAGCTAATGTTTCAATCTCTCCCTTACAACAGGCAAAATGGGATAAACTAAGGTAAATCCACCTTGCTATGATCATTAAATCAGGAGCTGATTTCATGTCCTAACTGATTGTTTACAGCTGAAGACAGAGGAGATCCTTACCTGAGAATTAGAAGTAGTAGACATCACCAGGCTTGCTTGGTTTCTGTGGTCCGGAGGGGTTCCTCTGTGAGTTTGGGGGTGACTGTTGTTGACCGGGAGCTGCCTGAGAAGGGCTTCGACGTTTGCCTCCTGAATTGGGCTCTGCCAGTTTCATCAGACTGGAGAGTCCTTGGGGAGCTGTGCGGGTAGGCGACGAGCGCCGGTGACTTGAACCTGAGCGGGACTGGGCCTGTGTTCCAGACATATTGTTTGGACTTTGGGCAGCACCAGATGCTACAGAGCTGAGTGAACCTGTGCTGGATACTCTGTGAGTTTGCTGTTGCTGTTGCTGCTGCTGCTGACGTTGTTGATGCTCTTGTTGATGCTGTTGCTGATTGTTGGGAGGAGGTATTGATGATCCAATTTGACTTCCACTCGCTGAGAGCTTCAAAGGCAACTGCTGGACTTTCACTCCTTGCGTCTTTTGTTCATTCTTAGCACTTAGAAGATGCATTGGTAGGTTTTGCTTTGCTGCTGCTGGTGCGTTGACGTTGTGCAGGTTGCCGACAGACAGCCGAGGTTGTCGGTTATTGCTGGAGTTGCTGCTTGAGAGGTCAACTGGTTGACTGGACTCCCGTTGATGAGTAACCGGATCAAAATCTTGTAGAGGGTTAAAGAACTCTGCCGATGCTGACCTGCGGTGGGCAAGTTCTCGTTGTTTGTCAGCTGCTGAAGCCTGTTGAGGGCTGCTTTCTCGATCGCTTGACGGGCTGGTTACCCCCTCTGTCGGAGAGGACAAAAAGGGGGAGGGGATATTGATGTTCTGTTCCCTCATCAGGTCTATTTGTCGCTGCAAAGTCTCACGCTGACGTTGGAGTTCATCCTTCTTAGCACGAATGTCAGCCTGCATACAAAGGAAGTAGAACTTGATATTTTAGATGAAATTAAATATACAATGACTTTGTGTGCTGGTAATTAGTCGACTGACTCTGAGAATTTGGGTTCAAATCCAGGATGGGACTCAACTCACGAAAATTCTAGAATCTATTTCACTGAGAAAGTGTAATCCAATATATAGCATAAGTTACTGAGATGAAATTGCTGGTTATAACGTTCCTCTTTATCCATGTTACTGAAAGTGAGAGTACCACTGAACTTTGCAAAATAACATTTTAATAACTTTTATTGGAATTTTAATTGAATTTGGGAATATATAGTTAGCTGACATCAGACAATTGATTTAGCTGTATTACTTATTTTTGCAGTCACTAGTCCAAGATCTACATGTATTTTTCTGGGAGGATGGCCAAAACAATTTTGGGGACCCAAATCCAGAACATCCTGATAACACTGCATTTTTGTTTTGCAGAACATGAAGACAAAATATTTTTACTCAAATTTTCTAAAACATATCATATTTTCAAAACAACCAAGATCTTTGCCCTCTGCATTAGGAATATATATTTGGCTGTCTATGTCGACTATGACCTGTCTATGTCTACTATGACCTGTCTATGTCTACTATGACCTGTCTATGTCTACTATGACCTGTCTATGTCTACCATGACCTGTCTATGTCTACTATGACCTGTCTATGTCTACTATGACCTGTCTATGTCTACTATGACCTGTCTATGTCTACTATGACCTGTCTATGTCTACTATGACCTGTCTATGTACATGAAGCCTAACAGAATGTCCAGCTATTGACCATCATGGTGTAAAATATTGAACAAACTTTATGGATAATAACTTCTGTATTTACTATGAGTGCCTAACATTTAGCTATTGATATCAGATTCTTGTACCGTTGTCAAGCATCAACAGTACAAGAATCTGCATTGAAACATCTCACGGAATAAAGAAGTTGTTATCCATAAAGTTTGTTCAATATTATATGTCCCCACTTCTAAAATGCCTCTCATCATGGTGTACCTCTTTCTTCTCCAGCCTCCTCCTCTCGTCCTCCAGCTGCTCTCTCCTCTGTTCCAGGAACCTCTCCTCGCGACTCTTCTCCTTCTCCCACTCCGCCTTCTCACGGCTGATGTTCTCCTGCAGGTTGCGAAGCTCCTCCAGTTGGTTGTGGCGGTATCCTGTCTTCCTGTCCGACATGTCCGCAGACAGCTTGTTGATCTTCTCGTTGGCCTCAGCAAGCTGGGCCCGGAGACTCTCTACAGCAGTGCCCTGCTGGGCGGTCAGATTCTGGAAAACAAGGACGGTCAGTTAGTGTCAGGCTTATTATGTGCAGAGTGAGTGAGTGATTTGGTGAATCAGTCCGTGAGTCAGTGAGTGTTTGGGTGGGCAGGGGGTAGGGGGAGCGGCGTATGGGCATGGGAGTGACAGAGGAGGGGACAATTATTATGGATTAAAACAAATTCATCATAATTATTCATTCATTTATCAAAAGGGATAAGATTGGATTTTGGAATAACATAAATAATGTTTCTTTACATCTGCCACAGATCTGCACTGACAGATCATCACATTAACATTTTTGTATCAGTCCAAGGTTTCATTAAAAACATATCGAAGATGTCAGTGTTCCAAACACACTCCCAGGCCAACAAGAACTTTTAATAACACTATTTTTATAACTTGCTGTTAAATTATGAGTTGTGTCATCTTTAAAATCTAGCTAGGTTAATGTCTAAAGCTCTTTCAGACTATAAAATTGGAAACCTTTGAAGAAAAATAAATCTGAAGGAACACTTTTCATTTTTTTCAACTATCAGTCTGACAGGACGTTTTTTCACAGGGTATCACTTTCAACGCTGGAACACTTTTTGTAAATTTAACATTTGAAAAGAACGTTTAAACATTTGTGTTATTCAGACAAGTGTGTTTGTCAGTGTTTAGAGCTCTACAAGGTAACGTAACCCCTCTCTCAAATGTCAGCTTCCATTACTGTCACAGTGGCTGTTTGTCGCTGGCACACAGTTCCCAAACACAAACACACAGCCCTGACACTTCCACCAACTGAAATAGCAATTCCACTGTCATCTGCCAATCTCATGCCGAGAAGGAAAAGGCTGCTTCAGGTCAACAACTTTAGCTGTGTTAGAGAAATATTTTGGACAGTTCCACTTTTTCAATACCATTTTTGGACATTTTCATGTTTTTGACACCATCTGCATATAAAAAGTTAAATCTAACCAAAGGAGTCCTTCAACATTTTTAAACTCTAATGTTAAAACATTACATATTTAGAAGGTCCCTAAATTCCAATAACTGCTACGCATCTCTCCTGTGACTAAGGTCTAGCCCTTTTTCTTCGTTTTTAAAAAGAAACCAAAGCAATGAGGTTGTCCAATGTTACTGCTAATCCCGGTTCATTTCTGATGCTTCTTGTCTAGTCTGATATAAAGAACTTTTGAGGTTTATCAAATACACGTAATAAGATGGAAGCTAAACCATCAAAATCAACATTTATTCAAAAAGGAAAAATGTAAATTATCAGTAATTGTAATCAATAATCCTTTCTTTCATCAATGTAGAATACCAAAACATTAATAACAGTTTCTTCAAAATGGGGGGAACATAGAATTATCAATAATTGTGGATCCTGTCATCAACACAGGCACCAACAGTGACACCCCCTCAAACACTGGCTATCAATGGGCAAAGGAAAAGTAAAAAATCATCAAAACTGATTACGAATATTAATGAAAAAGTAATTCAATTGCCCTGAATGGGAAGTTTCATTGAGCACCATCATTTGTGTCAGTATTGACAGAATAAACCCTGCGGGGTTCCCAAGTGTAAATCAAACAAGCCCGCTACCCCTGTGTATAGTCTAAGTACACAGCCATACATTGCCTCGGTATGATTAACTGGCTGGGAGAGATATCCAAATAAACCTACAATTAAATTCTCAATAAATGCCACGAGCATAAGAACCAAAGTTTCAATTGCTTAATAAAGTTTTTCTAAAGCCAAAATAGACGGGCTTTGTGAACTTTGATGTTCGGAGTCACGACTGGCATGACGTGGCATGGTCCTTCCATTTCAACATGCTCGTACAGTGTCGGCCATTTCTTCTCCAGGAATGAAAGTCTCTGGGATGTAATTGAGAGAAAGGAGGGGAAATTCAATTCTCAACAAGACAAAGAGGTGAAATACGTTTGGATTGATTTGAAGTATTGCAAATAGATGAAGATATTGAATGCCTGGAGGTCTTAAACTTCTTATTGGACTGAATGGCAAACCTTTCTAACTGAAGTATCTTTCAAAAGGAAGAAATGTCAATTCAAAATCGACCTGCTCACATAAACATCACTAGCAGATAATAACAAGATTCTGATTTCTAAAGACGAAAGATTTTGCCCTACTTAAAGAAATGGATTTGGAAGCAATCAAGCATATTAAGCATGTTATGTGTGATGTCATATGAACAGCTAGCCTTAAACAAACCAAAGTGACACAATAAAATATTGATCTGAATTCCACTCAGCCCCCAGAAATCAATTGCAGGATTTTTCAATATATTTTGATATCTCTTTTGACAAAGCAATAGTCAGTCCTCAGTAAACATCAAATATCTGTGTCGTTATACAGTGTAGTCAATTTCCCCCCTCACTATATCACACAGTATTACACACATTCAAATGTAAAGACAACCTCACAATTCATTCATTCAGTCCCTAATCTCATCAATCAAAAACATTTGTTCTTATACTGTGTGTTACAGTAATCAGATTTTTTTTTTCCAGAAAAAACATTATCGTGTTATCTGTGAACCAAGGCCAGTCACCCTGAAGGCTAGTTCTCTTTCACCAATCAGGAAGGTCACTTTCAGTTGGGCCCCGAGCTCGAGGTTGGACATGAGGTGTAATTGATTCAAGCAAAGAACAGGTCCACATTAAGGATTACAAGGGAATCCAATGTATGATAACATATAGGTCTATGAGAGAGCCCTGTGTGACACCCCTATGTGTGACAGGTCTATGAGAGAGCCCTGCGTACACCCCTATGCACCCCTGTACAACACCTTAACAGTGATGCCTGTACAACACCTGACACCCTTACAACACCTTAACAGTGACACCCCTGTACAACACCTGTAACAGTGATACCTATGTGAACTGGTCTAACAGTGACACCCCTGTACAATGCCTTAACAGGTCTATGACAACACCTTAACAGTGAGACCCCTGTACAACACCTCTAACAGTGACACCCTGTACAACACCTTAACAATGACAGTGTCCCTGTACAAGCACCTCTGACACCCTGTACAACACCTTAACAATGACACCCCTGTACAACACCTTAACAATGACACCCCTGTACAACACCTTAACAATGACACCCCTGTACAACACCTTAACAGTGACACCCCTGTACAACACCTTAACAGTGACACCCAACACCTTAACAATGACACCCTGTACAACACCTTAACAATGACACCCTGTACAACACCTTAACAATGACACCCTGTACAACACCTTAACAATGACAACACCTTAACAATGTACAACACACCTTAACAGTGACACCCCTGTACAACACCTTAACAATGACACCCTGTACAACACCTTAACAGTGACCCCTGTACAACACCTTAACAATGACACCCCTGTACAACACCTTAACAGTGACACCCCTGTACAACACCTTACAACAGTGTACAACACCTCTAACAGTGACACTGTACAACACCTTAACAGTGACACCCCTGTACAACACCTTAACAGTGACACCCTGACACCACCTTAACACCTTAACAGGTGAATACCCTGTACAACACCTGTGTACAACACCTTAACAATGACACCCCTGTACAACACCTTAACAATGACACCCCTGTACAACACCTTAACAGTGACACCCCTGTACAACACCTTAACAGTGACACCCCTGTACAACACCTTAACAGTGACACCCCTGTACAACACCTTAACAGTGATACCCCTGTACAACACCTCTAACAGTGACACCCCTGTACAACACCTTAACAATGACACCCCTGTACAACACCTTAACAGTGACACCCCTGTACAACACCTCTAACACTGACACCCCTGTACAACACCTTAACAATGACACCCCTGTACAACACCTTAACAGTGACAACCCTGTACAAGCCGCTAACAGTGACATCCCTGTACAACACCTCTAACAGTGACAACCCTGTACAACACCTAAACAGTGACAACCCTGTACAACACCTCAAACAGTGACAACCCATGGTGAACAAAGAGTAACCTCTATTGATCCCAAGGAACCATTACCCTGGCCATATCTAATCTAGAAATCTACAATATGGTGCCTACAGCTTCACATATCTCAGTATTCACAAATACATTCCAAAAGTTTGCAAATCATCTTTAATACAAACGCTAACCACATTAAATATTTCTCCAATTATGATCATGTTGATTTTATTATCAAGGCTGTTTACGCTGAGCTTTGAAATGTTTAACTCAAACGATTTTCAAAATTCTCACAAATATGTTCAAAGGAGTTCAGACAGAGTTTTTCAAACATTTTTTCTATAATCTCCCCATATGCCATAAATCCACACCACCAAAGAACATTTGAATAAACAATTACGTCTCTTGCAGAATAAATTTCAACACGCATTTGAAATCCTAAAGTAGCAAAAATATTAACTGGACAAGAACTGAGAGAATTTTAGATTCTTAAGCATGTAAGAAAAATATACAAAACAGAATTCTTGGAAGTCTTGGAGTCCTTTCATCAGTCAAAGAGAAATTTTTCCACCAGCTGTCGCTTTTTGTCTGCATCATGGTTCTCCAAAAAGTAAGAATCGGTTTGTCACTGGATCTGTGCCTACATACACTACTGCCCCTATGTCAAAAACATATGCAGTCTCTCATTGAGAAACATCATCCTCGACTTCATGGAGGAAGTTGTGTGTTCAATGTTTCAGATACATTAATATCAATTTTGTTGCCAAAGTGAGCTTGTGTATTATGTGCAGCAGAGTGAATGAGGTGTACATTTCACAGACTTACATACATAACTGACTGGTAAACTTTAAGACTTATAACAGAGTTCCTTTCATATTGCTAAGTTCATTTGAACATGTTCTAAGGACTAGTTTCATGGGGGTTGGGGGGTGATTTATTAGGAAGTCCGATCAGATGATGGGAATATTGTTACGAGACATATCAGATTATTTAGCTTTCTTTCAATGTATGCGAGCATGTCACAGTAGGTGAGAGTTACTTCAGTCTGTATTGTCCCACCAAGAGAGTATGCTGATATCTGATGGGCAAAAGATGTGTGACAGAGTGAATGCTGTTTTATGTCACACATTCATCAACAAAATTCTGTCGTGGAATCCCAAGGGCTGGAGAGGAATGGGAATGAGAGGGTGCCATTAAGGATGAGTTACAAAGACAACAGAGGGAATGAGAGGGCGCCATTATTTACAAGGATGAGAGGGCGCCATTGAGTTACAAGGACAACAGAGGGAATGAGAGGGCGCCATTAAGGATGAGTTACAAGGACAACAGAGGGAATGAGAGGGCGCCATTAAGGATGAGTTACAAGGACAACAGAGGGAATGAGAGGGCGACATTAAGGATGAGTTACAAGGACAACAGAGGGAATGAGAGGGCACCATTAAGGATGAGTTACAAGGACAACAGAGGGAATGAGAGGGTGCCATTAAGGATGAGTTACAAGGACAACAGAGGGAATGAGAGGGCGACATTAAGGATGAGTTACAAGGACAACAGAGGGAATGAGATGAGTTAAGGATGAGTTACAAGGACAACAGAGGGAATGAGAGGGCCATTAAGGATGAGTTACAAGGACAACAGAGGGAATGAGAGGGCTCACATTAAGGATGAGTTACAAGGACAACAGAGGGAATGAGAGGGCGACATTAAGGATGAGTTACAAGGACAACAGAGGGAATGAGAGGGCGACATTAAGGATGAGTTACAAGGACAACAGAGGGAATGAGAGGGCCACATAAGGATGATGAGTTACAAGGACAACAGAGGGAATGAGAGAGCGACATTAAGGATGAGTTACAAGGACAACAGGATGAGTTACAAGGACAACAGAGGGGAATGAGAGGGCAAGGACATTAAGGATGAGTTACAAGGACAACAGAGGGAATGAGAGGGCTTACATTAGGATGAGTTACAAGGACAACATTGAGAGGATGATTAAGGATGAGTTACAAGGACAACAGAGGGAATGAGAGGGCCATTAAGGATGAGTTACAAGGACAACAGAGGGAATGAGAGGCAACAGAGGGATTGAAGGATGAGTTACAAAGGACAACAGAGGGAATGAGAGGGCGACATTAAGGATGAGTTACAAGGACAACAGAGAGGGATGAGTTACAAGGACAACAGAGGGAATGAGAGGCGACATTAAGGATGAGTTACAAGGACAACAGAGGGAATGAGAGGGCTTACATTAAGGATGAGTTACAAGGACAACAGAGGGAATGAGAGGGCTTCATTAAGGATGAGTTACAAGGACAACAGAGGAGAATGAGAGAGCCACATTAAGGATGAGTTACAAGGACAACAGAGGGAATGAGAGGGCCGACATTAAGGATGAGTTACAAGGACAACAGAGGGAATGAGAGGGCATTAAGGATGAGTTACAAAGGACAACAGGATGAGTTGAGTTACAAGGACAACAGAGGAGAATGAGAGGAGTTACAAGGACAACAGGATGAGTTACAGGACAACAGAGGGAATGAGAGGGCACATTAAGGATGAGTTACAAGGACAACAGAGGGAATGAGAGGGCGACATTAAGGATGAGTTACAAGGACAACAGAGGGAATGAGAGGGCGCACATTAAGGATGAGTTACAAGGACAACAGAGGGAATGAGAGGGCGACATTAAGGATGAGTTACAAGGACAACAGAGGGAATGAGAGGGCGACATTAAGGATGAGTTACAAGGACAACAGAGGGAATGAGAGGGCGCCATTAAGGATGAGTTACAAGGACAACAGAGGGAATGAGAGAGGCTGACATTAAGGATGAGTTACAACAGAGGACAACAGAGGGAATCAGGAGGGCGACATTAAGCCATTAAGGATGAGTTACAAAAGGACAACAAGGACAACAGAGGGAATCAGAGGGCCATTAAGGATGAGTTACAAGGACAACAGAGGGAATGAGAGGGCGCCATTAAGGATGAGTTACAAGGACAACAGAGGGAATGAGAGGGCGCCATTAAGGATGAGTTACAAGGAGGAAGGTGAGATGGGTGTGGGGCTTGGAGTGACATTGTTTCTGAATCTTTGTTTATTTCATTTTAGTGAGATGTTGAAATTAAAGTGAAGTTAATGAGCGATGGGGATCACTGGAAGCAAACATACAAGAGTGTGTTTAGCACTGGCTTGAATAGTGTTCCAGTTACCTGCATCATCATGTGTCAGTGTAATTTGGGAGGTCGGACCAAAGTCATGCAGGTCTTAGACATTTACCACCTTGGTCAAACCCAGGAGCATGAGTCTGGTGTTGTAAACCTAGAAACAGTCGTAGCAAAATGGGATTCTAACACAACTCTGCACATTTCAGTTGTGACGCCTCAGACAACAGAACCACATTCATCTCCCAGATGGGAGTGACAGCTATGAATACGTGAGGTGAGGTGAAATTGGGTTTTACGTCATACTTGAGAATATTTTCCTCATATGATGACCTGCATGCGTGTGTATGTGTATGTGCGGGTGCTTGTACTAGCCAAGACTTAAGCTGGTTTTATAATGCTAGCCCACTGAGATACCATGCCGCAGTGAAGCATGAATACCCTACTCAGACACATTATACTGACTCCGAGCCGACCAGTCCTTGTTGTACCCATTAATGCCGAACGCCAGGCAGGAAGCAACAAGTAACATATTTTAACGTCTTTTGGTATGACGCAGTCAGCTATGAATAGGAGAGACAGATACGAATGAGAGAGACAGAAATGAATGGGAGAAACAGATAAGAATGACACAGCTCAACTCACCATAAGGTTGTGTAGATACTTGACAAGCTGGGATATAGAGAGGAGTTGTTCCTGGTTGCCCTGGGATGGTGGTAAGGATGATATGGAGGAAGCTGACAGCTCTCCAAGTGATCCCTTGTCACTGGATCGATCGGACCCCCTCGAGTCCTGCTCCTCCCAGACATGCGGGATGGAGCGCTGGAGAGGGGATGCTGGCTTGATGGAGTCTTGGCGATGGACGTCACTGACAGTGGGATCCTGGAGACAAAAATACATATAGTTACAACTGACTGAGTTTGGTTTTACGCCGCTTTTAGCAATATTCCAGCAACATCACGGCGGGGGACACCAGAAATGGGCTTCACACATTGTGCCCATGTGGGGATTCGAACCCGGGTCTTCGGCGTGACGAGCCAACGCTTTAACCATTAGGCTGCCCCACCGCCCCCATATATTTACAATATGAAACATTGACGTGTGTTAGTTACCAAGAGAAACCTAACTGAAAGACACACTCAATGATTTCCTTCCTTAACTGGAAGCTGTGTTGGCTGAGTGGGTTAAACGGCTGACTTTGTGTGCTAGTGATTAGGTGCCTGGTGTGGGTTCAAATCCAGGATGGGACTCAACCCAACAAAAGAACTAGAATCTGTACTCTAATAATAATAATAATAATATACTACTCACACTTTGCTAAGGATCACAAAAATTCACAACTTTACTTAAACGTAGATTCATAATTTGAAATTGTATCCATTTAAAACTGGATAAATAATTATATGGTAACCCCTCTTTAGGCAATCAGTCACTTTAATCTAACCTTATGCACTTGATACGTGAGTAACCATCCAAAATGGTTTTCATGGCACCAATCAACCATTTTGCAAATCATGGAACAAGTCATTGACAAGTACACAACACCTGTCAATAGCAGGTATGGGATCCACAAGATGCAGTGACATACTGAAACCTAGGATCCATGCTTACAATAAGCTAAGATATTTAACCAAATTTGACCCCACATCATAATTTTCTGTTGAATCCATGATTTGATCCTTAGCAAAGTGTGAATAGTATAAATGGATATTTCCCATGCGCCATAGTCCATCCAGAGCATGCTCAAAGAGCTACATATAAAAAGAGTCACTTGAGTTCAAGAGGAAGATATGACAATTCGTCAAAATGACCATGAGAATATTTCGCAGTTATAGGTTGTAGACTTTTTTTGAAGAGGAAGGTTTTGAGTCCCGATTTGAATGCTTTTAAGGCTTCTACTTAGAAAGCATAATCCCAAATATAACATACATGACATATGTTAACTGACCCTACCCCAAGCAATGACCCAACCCCAATCTTGCACAACCACCATGTTATCTTTCAAGCTATTTCTCCAAATGTAAAAAAATACTTCAGATTTCTTCCTCTTATGAAAAAGACATGCAGTCGTGTATACAAAAGAAACTCCTTCCGTTAGAGTCAACGTTCTGTAGACTGTGTTTACTTGTCTTGACTCTGACGTGTCTGAACATTACCTAACTGTGTCAGTAACAGAACTCTCTCTCACAGGCAGGAGCAACCCGATCCCAAATGTCTGCAAAACCTTCTTCATGTTACAAATGGCAAACAGCTTCAAAGTTCATAATAACATATAAATTATTTTCCTCGAAGTTTCAATTTTGTTTTTCCAAATGAATATTTTCTGATGCAAGGAACAGAAGGCTTCTTTGCACTGGAAGGAATATCAATACTATGGCAGCTGTTCTGTCTTATTGCTGAAACTGACATGAGTGTTGCTACAGAATATATATTGTCACTATTATCACGCTGGTGATTATTTACAAGCTGAGGTAAAGTCAACAGTTTTTGTGCAACTGTTCATTGCTATTTTACATCCTAAGACCCCAAGCTATAAATTATAAAACAGATACAAGGTGGTGATTATCATGTAGCTTTTCTAGAATTGATCTTTTCAATAAGTTTGGAGGTTTGTCAATTACAGATACATAATATTCAAAATGATTGCTTGAAATTATATGACTATAAATACAAAATCTAAAGAACCTTCAAAGAGAAAAAAAGATGGAAAACATTTTTGTTGAAAAAGACATCCAATGATTAGTTTTGTGTACACTATTCAGTTTATGACAGAAATACACCAATTACAATCTTGTAAACTATTGAAGCGAACATGAAGCATGAAATTCAGACTAGAGAGGTAAAGTATGAACATACAGTCCGACTGAAAATTTGCCATGAATTATTTGCACTGGCAACTTTGAGTATCTCAGCAACAAGTAGGCAGACAGCTGTTTACTACACAACCGTCAACAAAGTCACAACTCTATAACAATAACATCACAAAAATACCACAGCTAAATCATAGAAACATTACAGCAATATCACAAGAATTTTACAGCAATATCAAGCAATATTACACCTATGTTACGGCAATATCACACTTATAGCACAGCTAACTGGCAAACAAGGATAATTTGGACCTGCGCAGAGAACGCGTTTTCGAGAAGTAGCGTTGCACGGCAATGAGCAAACCCATTTGGTTTGTGAAAGGTAGAGCAGATGTAGGCTAGTGCACGTGCATTGCATGACGATGAAATTGATTCCGCCTTGCTCATAAGACTCTCACGTCGGTGTAGCAAGTCGCACTACACTCGATTGCGGACAACCTCGGGCACCTTCCAATGGGAAGCGCCAATGGGCGGCACTCATACATGCCAATATGGGGCAATTGTCAGGTCGGTGCTCAACTTATCCTTGTTTGCCAGTATGTTGCATCAGTATCACTTATAGCACAGCTATGTTATAATTATTCTGAATTTCAGGAAGTAGGCACACCAAATCCAACAATACCATCAGCAAAGCAAACCTAATATAGCATGGTCACAGCTGATAGATAGTAAACCATGGATAATCATCTACTAAAATATTACCCATACTTGACGACACAGCGGTCAACTGATCCCTACTCAACTATCAAGGTTTATGTTCTTTATGCCCTAAAACACCTCATGAAGGAATACAACATTGCATAATCATCTATCAAAATATTACCCATACTTGACGACACAGCGGTCAACTGATCCCCACTCAACTATCAAGGTTTATGTTCTTTATGCCCTAAAACACCTCATGAAGGAATACAACATTGCATAATCATCTATCAAAATATTACCCATACTTGACGACACAGCGGTCAACTGATCCCCACTCAACTATCAAGGTTTATGTTCTTTATGCCCTAAAACACCTCATGAAGGAATACAACATTGCATAATCATCTATCAAAATATTACCCATACTTGACAACACAGTGGTCAACTGATCCCCACTCAACTATCAAGGTGTATGTTCCTTATGCCATAAAACACCTCAGAGAGGGATACAACCATGCATGATATCACCCAGACACCCAAATATCCACAACTATTTCCTGGCATCTAACAAGCTTCAGTTTGTCGGACTCACTCTAAGACCAACAAGCATCTATAGTGAGGGAGTGAGTTTCATGACGAGCAAACGCTTTAACCACTAGGCTACCCCGCCGCCCCAAGCATGTCTACTGTACCTACCATTGGAGTGGACTCTGGCATGGACGACGTGCTGCTGTCTCCTTCAAGTTTGTCCAGACTCAGCAGACTTGGGCTGCGTCCTTCAGCGTCACGGATCTGTGGTGCAAACCGCTTCTTTAGGCCGCCTACAAGGAAACACTATCAAGTCAACCAACTAATAATGTCAGTTTTTTCCTGGATAAAATATCACCTATACTTCCTGGTTCATAAAAAATGAACCTGTAGAGGAAAGTACATGTCTAAAACAAAACAAATTTCTGACTGATGGTTATTTGATAGCTCAGTCCAGATGTCAACAGGAATGATGTAAAAGTGAAATTTCTATCTCTGCCTTGGATAGGGTTGTGAGCAAAATACCAGCTATGCTCGTCACTGCATAAATGTTGCAGACCCATGAACATCCGGGTTACAATTGGTGTTCAGTAACCCATGCTTGACGTAAGAGGTGACAATCGGGATTGGGAGGTCAGGCTCGCTGACTTGGTTGACACATGTCATTGAATCTCATCCCATCAACATTGCTGAGTGTAACTTGGCAACAAATATAATGTCACATGTAAGCAGTTCTTGTGCAACATTCAACTAAAACAAGCCAGCATGACCTTTACCTTTTGGGACATCATGACTGCTGTCGAAACCAGCAAATGTTTCCGCTCGTTTTGGGACTGGCATAGCGACGAAAGAATTGCTGACATGCTCTCCGACGCTTGACACACTTCGACTCAGATGGGTTCCACTTCCCTGCAGGATTGTTGCCAATCGAGAAGCTGAAGGGAAGATACAACAGAACATGGAGTGTCCACAATAAACAGGAAATCAATCACTCACGATATATTGTCAGTATCTCATAGGATGGCAGGTATATCTGAGCATGAACATGTAGTCCATTAAACACAAGACAGATCCTACACTGCAGCCATGGTGCACTGTGTCGTAGCAGGTAAGATGTCGCTCACAGCATTAATGACATACTTTCCTTTTACCCGTTAGTAATCATGCTGCCTGGATTATCAAATATAAGAGGCGGTGGGGTAGCCTAGTGGTTAAAGCGTTGGCTCGTCATGCCGAAGAAACGGGTTCGAATCCCCACATGGGTACAATGTGTGAAGAACATTTCTGGTGTCCCCTGCCGTGATGTTGCTGGAATATTGCTAAAAGCGGCGTAAAACCAAAACTCAGTCAGTCAGTCTCAAATTGAAACATAATTTGTATTACACAAAATCAACACAAGACACAAACATGGTGAGAGTGTTACCATGCGTACCTTCATGCATAGCAGCTTGTAGCACTTCCAGAGATTCACTGCCGGAGGCCTCTTCATGCATTGAACTTGGACGCTGAAAACAGAATTCAACAATGAGTATACATAATTATTTGGTTTCAATCCTTATTTAATGAATAAGAAACCAGAAAAACATTTTTTGGGGAATCACACAGTGTGAGCACATTAAGACTGATAAAGGTAGTAGGAACTTCACAAAACATCACACTGCGAGAATAAAGACATAATAGAAATAAGAGATAAGTCAACTGTTCGTCCACCGAGTTCTTCCAGACAAATATAATAAGCTGCAAGGGAATACATGGTATCTGATTGCCAAACCATGCGATTACTTTTGAGATTTATGATTCCTTAGACTGAAAAATAATCAAGGCCATGTCTAAAAGCTGTCCACTGTTTCCTGCTAGAGAGACTGAGTGTTTTGGTTGCTAGGCTTGGGTTGTAATATTCTGCTGAACAAAGTGACTGACTTTCTATCATTGTCTACAGTCTTGTGTGTTAATGAAACAGTGTTTCATTGTTACTGACTTGTATATTTATAAGAATATAAGTCCATATGTCCTAAACATGGATCTACAAGGATCATGAACACTGTATTTTTATAATTACACCTCTCTAAACAGATGTAATACAGAAGTGATCTACATGCATGCGTACCGAGTTTGGTTCATCGTTAGCCTTGTACAGGTCAAGGAGCTCCAGCATCAGCTTGTTCTTCTCGTCACAGCAGTGTTTGATTTCTGAATCCTTGATATGCAGTTGATCTGTGGGCAAACAACACCATACAGTCTCTGTACACTCTACTCTGAATCAACACAGTAATCAAAATGAACCCTCCCTACAATCATGTATGGGCAAACAATACCTTTATATTTCTTCAAGGTGTTTCATGAATATTTTCCCTGGTTCAATTCCCAAAATCCAAATAAAGGGTGGGAAGTGAAAAACATCTCAAAATAACTTTTGCCCTTTAGAGAAATATTGTTGATTTTACAATGTCTGTTCATACAAACTTGACCAACTTGACCATTCTGGAAGTTAAATGAATATTTATAGTGGATCTGAATACAATAATGATAGCATATATCTAATATTTCTCTATCCAGTTTAAGCCTTTTTCATATTGTTTGTGGAACTAACCTATAATCAGTTTGGCCTTCGCAGCTCTCTCCTCGAGTTTCCGTTTTTCTTCCTCCATTTCAGAAGATGGTACTTCCTCTTCCACTGCAACAGAAACAATTACCATCAGACAGTACGTCTACAATCTGACACAAACAGCAGTTAGTCATAGTGATCAGTTACAGAGGGCTAACTTGTCATAGGAACAATCCATGAACATAAACTTTGGGGTTTTAAGAAATTCACATCAGATTCCATGGTATGATCTAAGATAGAGTTGTGTCACCTCAGGTGACTTTATAACAACATGTAAAATGATCAGTCTGCAATCTGCATCTGGCCAGTAATCACCTTGTAAAAATACATATTTTTTTTTATTATTATTATTATTATAGGATATTTATATGGCGCACATATCCACACACTAGTGCATGCTCAAGGCGCTGTTATTTTCCCCCTCGATCATTGGATGTCAATCTCAACGGCTCATCGTATTATCAATCTCAACTCCCTGGGGAGTATACAACTCTTGCTGCCACAAGGCGCACTGAGTTATTGTACCCCGTACATACATCAACTGGTCAGTCTGTACTGACATCAAGATGTCATATATAAAGATATGTCTCAGGGCACATGACAATGAATTAGTTCATGACAAATTCAGCTTGAAAAATCTGATTCTGCAAGCCTGAGACACATGTGACTCCAAGTCTGTGTAACGTGGAAACCTGTGCTGAAGGGGAACCTACCTTCACGAGGACACTTCTCATTCGCCATCTGTATGACCTTGATCCAGCTCTCCTTGTCATCCTTGGAGCGGCAGACCAGCTCGTACATCTCGGGGTACTGGCTGTATTGGGAGATGAGGTAGATGCCGTGACTGTCACGTGTGTCACGCTTCTCTCTCACTAGCAGTTTGTACAGTGGTATCACGCAGGACTGGAACACGAAAAGTGGAAACAATGAAACTCAACTTAAGGATTCAGTGAGTGTGGAAACATTTCCACAAGCAAAGCAACTTTACAACAACTGCAGATAATATATGGTCCAACAACTGAGGGCCATTGCTCAGCAGCAATCCACTTCTCCATACTGTAACCTAATCAGCAGTCCACTACAGAGTAATAAGACCCAATCAGGCTGTTCATCAACACCTCATCCAGTACTAAACCCATATTCTGACCAACAATGTCTCTGGGTTCAGAAAACATGAGTAAGTGAAAAGGTTTGGCCCCTCTCAAAAGTTAGTACACATCAACACCATGTAAGAAGAATGCTGAAATGGTTTAAATTGTCCAGACAATCCAGTGATTGATAATGCAAACAACAATTCACTCGGGTGAGGTCAAAAGATCACAGTCAGAACACAGCCTGGGATTAAACATCACAATCACTGGATCCTAACATGATAAAAGGGGCACAACCCAAGACAACCACAATTTTGTATCATCTAAATAGTGTCATTATAATTAGGACATCGTAAAGGCAATTCCAAAAATGAAAGTTGTCTTTCAATGAGAGTGAGTGAGTATGGTTTTACGCCGCTTTTAGCAATATTCCAGCAATACCACGGCAGGGGACACCAGAAATGGGCTCCACACATTGTACCCATGTGGGGAATCAAACCCAGGTCTTCAGTGTGACAAGCGGATCCTTTAACCATCAGGCTACCCCACCGTCCCCTTACAATAAGACAATACAGCTATATTACGGTCACTCTATCCACTGCTACCAGACTCAGTACAAGATACACAGTCCTCTACTTTATCTAGACCTCACCTTGCCATCCTGGACAAAGAATGTGTATTTCTGGTTGCTCTCCTGCACAAAGAAGATGAGGTCAGTGAGGACAATAGCCAGCAGCTCCACGATTCGACCTCGCGCACTCTTCCATCCAATCAAACCCGTGTGCACCAGTTTGCGACCTCGCAAGGTTATGTCATGGCGCTGAAACGATTGATGAATATATAGTCTGAACCTACATACCAATTAACCAACAACACAAAAGTAAAACAATGTGTAAAATAGCTCGATGTTTATCTCACCTGTTAAAGGAGGGGGCAGAAGAAAAATAATCCTTGATGCATAACCCAAATGAATGACCAAAAACATCTCACATCCAAAACAAATTTTGAGTTCCTGACCATGACCTTGTGTGTGTCTTACCTTGAACTTCTTGCCCTTGAACACAGTTGTGGCTCGTGAGTCTATTTTACTCTGAATCTCCACCAGTTTTTTCATAGTTTGCAACCCTTTCATTGACATCTGTCAGCACTCCCTTGCTCCAGTTCAGAGCTCTACTTAAAAGGTCGCGATCTTTCTTGTCTGAAGAGTGAAATATAGAACATCAGTGCACAAGAATACTAAGTCTTGGCTATTATCAGAAACAAATTCAGTTTTTTGTAAATAAAAGGGGGAAATTATATGAATGTATCACTGACAATCACTCAAGACACCAGAGATTGTGAAAAGGGTTAGCATGTCCTGATCTACTGATTGCCCCCGCCAACATTGTTTTATTTGTTTGTCAGTTATATCCCTATTTGATTTGTTTGTTTGTTTGTTTGTTGTTTAATGCCACGCTCAGCAATATGCCAGCTATATGGCGGTGGTCTGCAACTATATGACCAGTCTGGACCAGACCATCCAGTGATCAACAGCATGAGAGACGCAACTGGGAAACTATAACATGTGTCAACCAAGTCAGCGAGTCTGACCACCCAATCCCGTTAGTCGCCTCTTACGACAAGCATGGGTTACTGAAGGCCACTTCTAACCCGGATCTTCACGGGTTGAAATCACATGTAAGTATGTTCATCTGCTCGCTTCCTCCAGAACACCACTTGCTTTATAATCTACACTAAGAGAACACTGAAATTGTATTAAAGATGTTGTTCTTAAAAAACTTTATTTGTTCCAGTTCAAACTTCTAAATCTTACACAAAGATATAAACTTTATGATAACAGAGTCAACACAACTTGCTACAGAGGTATATGAAATGACAAATTCTTATATCAAAAGGTTATCTTACCTTTAGTACTCTTACATATTGCTTCAATAAGGATTGGATATTTTGAAAGACGTATAGTGACGCCCAGGATAAAATCTGGCACATCTCGGCGCTTACAAGCACTGTGGTTTATACATGACTGAAATCACAAAAAGGGAGACATAAATACCACTAAACCATTCCAATTTCACAACACACACATAGAAACTATGCTTAATTGATCATATGTCTCCAAAATCTATAAATCAAAAATCAAAATTGCCTCAAAATATAATCAATTATCTGAAAAATATTCAAAAGATTTAAGCGAAAAATTCATACAGCAGCAAGAAAAATTTTAATTTTAGAATAGAATATTTAAATGCTAGAATTTTTTTGCAACAGACTTACTTTAAAGAATATTTGCACTTTCCGATCTGTTTTACATAGGTCTTTATACAGCTGCACGGCTTCCTTGTGTTTACTGCAGAATGCACCATAGACTGCCTTCATCTGTACGACATTTTCACCATCAAACTGAAAAATCACAAAAACATATTCACAAATGAATTCAAACAACGCCATCAAATGGATTTTATACATAAAGCAGATTTTTCAGTGACCATCCCGTGACAAGTAGGGCAATTATGTAGATTTTACAACTGCTTCAAACACTGTGGTTACTGGATTGTCTCCCTTTGATATGTTATACCCTGTTAGTTATCATGGTTTTACCTTCAAAATAGTGAGTTAGAGTTAAATTCCTTTGAAAAGTATTATAGATACAATGCAAAAAAATATTTCTTACTGCTTGTGTAACTTATTTCATGAAATTTTATCACTTAGATCCTTTGTAATAGTCTCCAAATTTAATCATGATGTAGATTGATTTTCTTTGCTTCAGAAACAATTTTTGATCTAGAAAGATCAAGATGACCTGATTTTTCCTGAGTGTGCAAGGTTAAGAGTATTTTTGTTATCACACCACTACATAAATTAGTAAACTTGAGATAAAACGTTTGATACGCACCATAACTTTTATATAAGACTGTATATTTTTCTGTTTACCATAACAATCACCCAGAATTTTCATCCTGACATGAAATAATAAAAACGTCATTCCTTCAAGTGCACAGTCTGGTGATGCTCCTACCTGGTCCAACAGAGTGCGTCCGACATCATCAATGCTGCGGTCATGTTTCACTTGCTGGAGTTTGAGAAGCTGAGCCAGGAATGTGGTGTGTATCTCGATGAGTTCATCCATCTGGGGGAAGAGTCGCTCAACCTGTTCCGCAGGCATGTTGAGGTCTTGCAGGAGGCCCTGGCTGAACATCTGCAGCAGAGTGAGTGAGTGAGTTGTGGACTCAGTGAGCGGACATGTCAGGTCAGGTAGACGGCTTGTCAGAAATATATCTCGACAGTCAATAAATGTTAATCAGATAAGCTATGTTGCATACCAATATGAAGAGATTTGTAACTTTAACTCAACTAGATCAAGAGCCTAGATTCATGGTTCACACGTATGCACTCAGCCCAATGCAGGAAATTTGTAACTATGTGTTTGCTTAACACTGCACTCGGCACTATTTCAGCAAAATGGCGACAGTCTGTAAATAATCGAGTCTGAACCTGACATTCCAGTGATCAACAGCATAAGCATCGATCTACGCAACTGGGATACTATGACATGTGTCAACCACGTCAGCGAGTCTGGCCACCTGATCCCATTAGTCGCCTCTTACAACAAGCATGGGTTAACTGAAGACCAATTTGAACCTGCATCTTCACGGGTCTGTAAGTATGTGAGTAAGCACACTCACTGACAGGTTTTAAATGAGTCCGATATGTTGGGTCTGCCATGTAGTATGCTCCTGGTGACCAGTTAAACAAAATATCCACCTACCTTCTGCATAATAGTGAGAGTCTTGCAATATTCCTTCTCCGTCTGTATCAGTTCTGAAACATAACATGCATATAAGTATTGGATTCAGTTCACAGGAAACAGAACACATCCACAACATCAAGTCTGTGTGTTTCCTGAATGGTGACTTGTCTGATACTTCATGCAACATTGAATAGTTGAGTTGTACGTCTCAGTCTGTGTCATGGGTTGGAATCATTCTTCATGCATAGAATTTGAGCTTTATATGCGTCTCAGTCTGTAGTTTCCTGAATGGTGACTTGTCTGATACTTCATGCAACATTGATGCAGTCTGCCTGAATGGTGACTTGTCTGATACTTCATAATGCAACATTGAATACAACACTAGTGAAACCTCAGTCTGTGTGTTTTCCTGAAGCACTTGTCATATTCATGCAACATTGAATAGTTGAGTCTTACCTCAGTCTGTCTTCAATGGTACTTGTCTGATACTTCATGCAACATTGAATAGTTGAGTATGCCATCTTCTAGTCTGTGTGTAAATGTGACACAGGCCATAGTCTTCATCATTCATAGTTTACTTTATGCCGCTTTTAGCAATAGTCCAGCAATATGCAGGCCATAGTCTTCTACAACACTAGTGAAACCCTCAAGCAGCATGTCATATTTGGGATTACCCTTTCTCAGTACTCGCTCCCACCAGTATGTATGAAGCATAATGTGACACAGGCCATAGTCTTCTACAACACTAGTGAAACCTCAAGCAGCATGTCATATTTGGGATTACCCTTTCACAGTACTCGCTCCCACCAGTATGTATGAAGCATAATGTGACACAGGCCATAGTCGTCTACAACACTAGTGAAACCTCAAGCAGCATGTCCCATCAGCATGAATGAAGCATAATCAGTTTGAACATGGAATTCAAACCTATGACCATAGGATCCTCACACATCAAAGAGACATAACTTTACATAGAACAAGTTTGAAAAGTGTTTACATTGTCGTGGTGACCTTGAAAATAAGGTCAAGGTCACCAAAAGCGACTGTTGTCTGTGTAATCCCCCAATGTAGACTGTCACCAAGTTTGAAGACGTTGGGTACAACAGTTAATGAGATATCACGTTAACAAGAGTTTCAAAAGTGGTCAAAGTGTCCTGGCGACCTTCACAATAAGGTCAAGGTCACCAAAATCGACTGGTGTATGGGTAATCCCCCAATGTAGGCTGTCACCGAATTTGAAGACATTTGGTACAACAGTTCATGAATTATCGCGTTAACAAGAATCGTCACATACGTACGTATGGACGCCGCTGAATACATAGATCTCAAGATCTCCTGGACTCACCCCAGATTGTGTCCTGGCGTTTAATATCCTTAGTATTCATCTTTTTCAGCGTCTGAAACAAAACACCAACAATCGTAAAGCTGACTGACTGACTGACTGAGTATGGTTTTACGCCGTTTTTAGCAATATTCCAGCAATATCACGGCTGGAAAACCAGCAATTGGCTTCACAAGTTGTACCCATGTGGGGATCGAACCCGGGCCTTCAGCATTACGGAGCGAACGCTTTAACCACTAGGCTACCCCACCGCCCCTCGTAAAGCTGAAGGTATTAGTTCTCATCTGTAGGACTGACTGACTGAGTATGGTTTTACGCAGATTTTAGCAATATTCCAGCAACATCACGGCGGGGGACACCAGAAATGGGCTTCACACATTGTACACATGTGGGGATTCGAACCCGAGTCTTCGGCGTGATGAGCCAACACTTTAACCACTAGGCTACCCCACCGCCCCCTCATCTGTAGGAAAAACTGTGGAATAGATGTGCACTTCATTCAATGAGTATGTAGTGATATTAGTCTATGTAGTGGAACATGCTTCAATACGTGATGAAACATATGCATTAGCTTTGAAATCTTCATGGTAACAATGGAAAAACGAGCATCTTGATGAAGTGTGAGTGAGTATTGTAGATACCGCTTTTAGCAATATTCCAGCCATATCACAATGGAAGACACCTTCACACATTGTACCCATGGGAAAAATTGACATGACAAGCAAATTGTTTAACCACTGGGCTACCCCCTACCGCCCCTTGTTACAATGTGGTGGAGATGATGTTGATCTGATGCCTGGCAAACCTAGAAACAATAAGGGCAACTGTGAATCATTAGTCTACTGGGGATATCAGCCTACCTTCCTGTCCACAGTGAGACTCCATGCCTCAGGTTCATCAAAGTCCAACATCAACTCTGGGTAGTCATCAAATATGGAAACCTCGGTCCTTACTGAAAGAGAATGGCATGATAAAACATCAGTGTTTAATGCAGGGATGGCACAAGCAATATCTATTTTCAGCGGAAAACTTAATATTGTGCCATCAAATGAGGGGTTCAGGGGGGTGAGTTGGAAATAAAATTGTCAGAAATCCGCCAATCGGCGGAAAATTGCCATCCCTGTTAATGATTTTATCTTTTTTAAATTGCAGTTTGGAAGAAAAAAACAGGAGAAAAAAGATACACGTTTTATTCTAAGTAATAATTACTTACATTTTGCAAAATGCCCCAAAGGTAAATATAATCTAACACTGTCGGTTAAGGATTCTTTAATTACAAGAATGCCATCATTTTGAAACAAAAAAGTCAGTGTGTCTTCATTCTATCTTACACAAAAATCTGACAATCAACTTGATGCTAACTCAGATTAGAGATAATTTGTGTCAAATCAGCAGATCATGATATCGAAGAGAACCATGGTAGGAAATCCCCAAACAGCATCCCCATAATGAGAGTTATCTCCCTTTGACTGTTGACAACGGTTGTAGTAAATTCAAACAGACTCAAGGAAGATCAAATTTGAAAATTCCTGTTTTCTATGAAAACTCACCAGTTGTAGCTTCGAGGGACTCCATAGATTCCGATATTGTGTCTTGTATGCTACAAACAACACAAGAGAAGTCAGTACCAAGCACCTATCATGACAAATCAACCATACTACATAAAAATCAGGCAAATTTGAACTTCTTTTTAGCATACATGTGAGATGTGTGAGAATTAAGACATGACTTACTTCGAGTGTCCAACATCAGGACCTGACCCAACAGAATCAATCTCATCTCCTTCATTGATAGCCCTGCAATGTCAGAAAGCGTCATATTAGCAGACTTCACCGGCCAGCAATATTGTCCAACCTCCACCTTAGCCTACAGTCCATTTGAGTCAGAAACAAACCGATGAATTGCAAATTTTATCATTGTACAAAAGTCCCTTTCTCTGCACTCCTCCCTCGTAAGAAATAGTGAACTGTGTCAAAATTTTCATGATAGTTTCTTAAAGAACTTTTTTTGTGGAGTCCGGAAAAGTTTCAAATATAAGAAAGCTGTTGGGTATTAGTAAATGGTAAACATGTGTACTATTTATATTTATGTGGCAATTTTGTACAATGATAAAATTTGCAATTCATCGGTCCGTTTCTGACTCAAACGGACTGTAGGTAGTGGTACAAATGTGTAGCAATTCAGTCAACCAAAACTAGAAATGCAGCATACACCAAGATTAAGCACCTTCAATAACAACACTGGCTTATCAACTTGGATACTTTATTTTGGAATATCAAATCAATAACTCCTGTTATGTGTGTGGGCATTTTTGCATATGCACATGCAAAAGACAGACCCTTCAAGTAGAGTATGTGACACACTGTCTGCATGGTTCTAGGGCATGTTGGCCATGGGTGTTACCATCAAAGTAGTCAGCGGCCATTGTGGACACCAAATCCTCAATTTGATGCATAACTGGCATAGGAACTAAAGACCAACGGAATTGTTGAATATGTGCCACATTGAAAGCTCTGGTGGTGACGTTGTTTACACACTGTTCACATAGCTAGCGTGAGTGTAATGAGACTTACTCCTCCACTGACTTAAACGGCCACTGAAGAGTGCCAGGGGACGAGGCGCTGCTGGAGGTAGGAGACGAACCAAAGAGGCTGTGGGCAAACATCACATGCAGTGAGAACGTGCAGGGGCATACACATAGATGACACATAGCACACATTAATAGACACACACATCACACAATGGACACACATAGATGACACATAGCACACATTAATAGACACACACACACATCACACAATGGACACACAAACAAAGATACACACACATGACACAATGCACAATATTAGACACACACACATTATCACACAATGGATGACACACAGCAAATATTAATAGACACACACATGACACAATGGACACACACAAAGATGACACAAAGCAACATGAATGGTTGTTCACACAAGTCACAACAAGCACACAACACATTAATGGACACACTCATCACAACACACACACACACTCTTTCTCTCTCTCACACACACAAACACACATACATAAACACTCACAACACACACAGCACAGCACATTAGTGGACACACTCCTTACAACACACACACATAAATGGACACACATCACACCAGACACACACAAATGACACACCACACATTCATAGACACACACATCACACAATGGACACACAAACAAATGACACATCACACAATGGACACAGAGGATGCAGCACCCCCATGTCACTCATTAATGGACACACACAGATCACACAACACAAATTTATGGACAGAGAGATCACACAACACACATAGCTTACACACAGATCACACAACACACAATAATGGACACACACAGATCACACAACACACAATGGACACACAGATCACACAATAATGGATACACAGAGATCACACAACACACATTAATGGACACACACAGATCACACAACACACATAGCTTACACACAGATCACACAACACACAATAATGGACACACACAGATCACACAACACACATATGGCTTACACACAGATCACACAATAATGGATACACAGAGATCACACAACACACATGGACACACACAGATCACACAACACACAATAATGGACACACAGAGATCACACAACACACAACAATGGACACACAGATCACACAACACACATAAGCTTACACACAGATCACACAATAATGGATACACAGAGATCACACAACACACATTAATGGACACAGAGATCACAATGGGACACACAGAGATCACACAACACACATGGAGCTTACACAGATCACACAATAATGGATACACAGAGATCACACAACACACATCACACACACAGATCACACACAGAGATTAATTAATGGACACACACAGATCACACAACACACAATAATGGACACACACAGATCACACAACACACATAGCTTACACACAGATCACACAATAATGGATACACAGAGATCACACAACACACATTAATGGACACACACAGATCACACAACACACATAGCTTACACACAGATCACACAATAATGGATACACAGAGATCACACAACACACATTAATGGACACACACCGATCACACAATAATGGATACACAGAGATCACACAACACACATTAATGGACAGAGAGATCACACAACACACATAGCTTACACACAGATCACACAACACACAATAATGCTTACACAGATCACACAACACACAATAATGGATCACACACAGATCACACAACACACACATGGACACACAGATCACACAATATGGATCACACAGAGATCACACAACACACAATAATGGACACACACACACAACACACATAGATCACACAATGATGGATACACAGAGATCACACAACACACATTAATGGACAGAGAGATCACACAACACACATAGCTTACACACAGATCACACAACACACAATAATGGACACACACAGATCACACAAAGATCACACATCAATGGACACACAGATCACACATTAATGGACACACACAGATCACACAACACACATAGCTTACATACAGAAAGACACATATTGCCCAAACATAGCCAAACCAACACATGTTGAAGTGTGAGTGAATGAATGAGTAGTAGACATCTATCTAGCAATACTGACACACTATCCTGATGAAGTGGAAACAGCAAAAAGACAAAAACATGTTAGAATTCAAATCTTTGTGTGACAAGTGTCCGCTGTCTTAACTGGTTTAATCCTCAGATATAGGTACAAGCAACCTCTCCTTTATCAGCCCTTGTTACACTGGGCACGTTGCAGCAAGACTTAACAACAACTTGTTTCTTAACAGTGTAATGGGGACTTGGGGTTCAAAACTCATATCTCTGGCACCGACTTGAAAATAGAAAGAGGAAGAAAAACAACCCCACAAAGAAAATAAGAACCAACTAGTACCTCAATCCCGACAACCCCTCAAACCCAACACACAGGCAAAGCCTCTGCATTAAGATCACTTTGACCCTCTAAAAACCAAAGGGCCTTAAGGTTTGTTTGCATGTTACAACATAAGCTATACATCGTAGCAGATACTCAGGTATGCGTGATGCACATGATATTTATATAAATGCCTTGAAACAGAATCTTGTCATAATCGTGAAGTCTTAAATCAGACACGTCAGGGTATATGACTTTACTGACAACAAAGCACCCCAGTCGGTTAGCTTCAGTTCAGCTGTTTGCCCGAACTAGGCAGCTGTTCTGTCTTGTGACCATTATGGGAAAGCACTTTATTGACGTTGTGCAAAACCATCCGAGGAACACCAACAATAATAATTACACAACCCGACCTTGACTAGGTTCTATTTTCAGTAAAGCACAAATGTGCATACAACAGCCCTCCAAGGAAGAATAGACCTGACTGGGGGAAACACAGCAGTCATACAGTCACAAATGTATAGACTTCTTCAAATGCCAAGTGACTATAAAAGAATTGTTTCCTCTCAATTGAGATGTAACTATATATTTAGTGTTGTTGGCCAAAGTTCTTTTTCTTTTCTTTAAATCACAATTTCACTGCTATATAACTGAAAAAATCATGGAAAATACAATCTGGTGCTGCCAATATACAAGAAAAAGATAATGTGATTACACAATGCCATGAATACTTATGCCATTTAGAAAGTGGTCAAATGTAACATATGTTATATTTGGGATTACACTTTCTTTGTAAAGTACAGATTCTAGTACTTTTGTTGGGTTGAGTCCCAACCGGGATTCGAACCCACACCCTCAGTAAGGCACCTAATTGCCAGCACAAACAGTCGGCCACCTAACCCATTCAGCCACACGGCTTCTGAGGGTGTGGGTCCCTGGATGGGACTCAACCCAACAAAGGTGCTAGAATATGTACTTTACTAAAACTGGAAAAATAATAGTTTGCATAATTCATCATCCATTTTGCCTCTTGACAAAAATAACTTAGAAATGAGAAAATAATATGGGGTTATCTTGAAGACAGAGTAAGTACTTATAGATATTGTACATTCTGATTCTGCTATAGTCTGTCTCACAGTCCCTGAACCACATTAATTTCCCTACTGCCAAGCCCTCTCTGCAGTGCTAAAGACCTAGATAAAGCAAGTCTAGATTTCCTCAGGTTCTGAATCTCTGGTCTCCCTAGGGCTCCTTTTCAATTTAAATGGGCTTGTTTGTTACTATCAAAATTATATATATTCAGAGACTAAGCCTTTGTCTAATTCTGCTACAGCAAGATGGACAGAATGGTAACGAACCAACAACAGCCTTCCCCGAATGTCAGCTTGTGACTCCTACCTGGCTCTTTCCCAGTAGTTCCTTCATCTACATTTTCTTGTTACCAACATACTTACACCACAACATCACAAAGTAACCAAACTTGATTACAAGATAACACTGCCGGTAACAAGACACATTGTAATAACAAGAATACCCCCTGGCCCCTACCTATGCCTTTCCCTGACCCCTTCCCACAATCCTCTGGGACATCATGCTTGACCCCTAGTAAAGTGCAGCTTTGGTTACCTGTGTTGTTTTGAGAGTGTCCAGTGTCCACATACTATTACCATACCAGGTACAAGAGGCTCTGTATGTTGATGGACACCAGTACGTATACTTCTCTCTGACTTACAGTACTCAGCATTCTTGTACTCACATAGCAACTCTGAATATGATTTCCCTTTTTTGACAATTTTCCTCTTGGTTTTCATACCTATGTTATTTGGCCATACACCGCCCTGTTCACAGGACAGATTCTGACTGTTCAAAGTTTAAATCCTCTAAACCTCATCTGATAAATGGTGGTTTTGCAATACCTCTAAACCTCATTTCACATAAGAATGTATTGAAGCACTGCAAGTTAATTGAAATCCATTTAGGTCACAGGCAGTAATGACTTAATTATATACAAAATATGGTGAATTATTCAAGCTGGTCTCTTTCACTAGGGGCGGTGGGGTAGCCTAGTGGTTAAAGCATTTGCTCGTCACGCCGAAGACCCGGGTGAGATTCCCCACATGGGTACAATATGTGAAGCCCAGTTCTGGTTTCCTCAGCTGTGATATTACTGGAATATTGCTAAAAGCGGTGTAAAACTGAACTCACTCACTCTTTCACTATATTAAGATGATACTATTGGAATGACATTGATGGACAAAGTCAGTGTCAGTAAGGTGTGGGGGGTTGGAGTATCTTGGTGGGGAAAGACAGTCAAGTGGTACAAGTGTTAGGTCATGTTGTCTGTAATCCCAGTTCGATTCCCAACATGGCTACAATGAGTGAAGGCAGCTCATGATGTCCAAGATTTATATATTGCTGCGGGTGAATTCACGAAGTACGTCCTACTGCATGGGTAGGCATGACTATGTATGTGATCCAGGTATGTGATCCAGGTATGTGATCCATGTATGTGATCCATGTATGTGATTGATGTCAGACAACAGACTCCACACTACATATCTAGGTTCCACACAGGCAGACAGACAATTTCACACAGGAATGACATCACACACAGAAATGACAATTTCACACACAGAAATGACAATTTCACACAGAAATGACAATATCACACAGAAATGACAATATCGCACAGAAATGACAATATCACACAGAGAAATGACAATATCACACAGAAATCAGACACTATAACTCAAACAGATTTTCCTAGACACAACAAGAGAAATAAGAGGCAGGTCTCCACACTGTTGTGACAGATCAAGACAAGGTCATGCAGGTAACATTACTGGGTATTTAAACTGGGGTATTTACATTGTGAAAATGGAAAAGTCAAATGCAAAGTAAATCTGATAACTATCTTGAGTGCTAGAGAGACAAGCATCTGACTAAATATTAAACAGAAAACAATAATATCAAACCAAGACGTGTTATCCATCTGGCTACATTACATTACAATTGCATTCAGAGAGATAAGTAGCTAGGAAAGTAGTGTAATTACTATAGGTAGTAGTATGGACAATAGTGTCAACAGCTTACCTGGGAGAAGGCAGGCTATTACGGTGTTGGACAAAATGGGTTGATGGCAGCAAGGTTTGCTGCAAGAAAAGAATCCAAATTAACAAAATATTTATGTCAAACAGGATCACATATATGCAACTTAACACAATTCATACTGATACCTTTTAGCAACATTCGTATGAAATAGAAAAAGAAAGTTATATTGTGTGCACATTTATATACGTTTTAAAAAAATAACACTGTATTTAACAGTACCTGTGTCTTGACCGGCGCAGACGAAGACCTCACTTTAAAAGAGTGTGATGGCCGCAGACTTGACCCTATGATAAAATTGGTAAGATATAAAAACATTGAGACCTAAAGGTGAGTGTCTCTCGATCCAGAGAGAGCTGGCTTGTGGTTTCAGCGTACCAATATGATTACACTACATCGACAGCACAATGGTACTACTCGTTCAAACAATTCCAGCTCTTGTTATATATTAATGCAACATGTGATTAGACATGTCCACGTCAGGGAGGCTCATTATCTAAAGATAGCGAAAGTTTTCATTCAGAATGTGAAATACGAGGATGATAAACATTTAAGACCTTGGCTTATTAAATTATCCAGACAGTAATTATATGAGATATATGTAAATATATAAATGAAAATAACATTCATTTTAGACTTGTCAGTATTACGGTGTACTTATTTACCAATTCTGATTCAAAACCAAATTTTACAGAAAAACGTTTTCAAAAATATACTTTTTGTATGAAACATAATCAAGAAACAAAGTGGCAATTTCATTCCTGTTTTGGCTCACAAGAGCAATTTTAGTTTTGTTCCCTGAACAAAATTTTTTTGTACAGCTGACAGTGAAGTGTGAGTGAGTGAAGATGACAACTGTGGATACATTTGAAGGTCGTATCGAATGGGGGCAGGTGCATGCTGGATTATGGCGATGATAATATAGCAATGATATTAGAATGAATTATAAAGGTCATAAAATATCAAATATATCAAACATCATACAAAAGTGCCTTATTCACAATACTGCCTGCTTTTGAACCACAAATGCATATCAAAGGGCTTTCATATATCACAAAGCCCAAAATGTCCATAAAACTTTCATAAAAATATTAAGCCTATGTTTGATAAATAAATTAATGTATATTGTGACCTTTTCGTTGTATTTCACAGAGCACTAAAACACAAAGCCTCTGCACAGCCTCCACAAAGGGTACAAGAGAGGGGCTATTAGCACCTAATTCACTCCCATTGTAGTTCATTTCAATGCCTCTTTTTGGAGGTATCACATGACCAGTGGGGTAATGTTCTCTGCCAATGATTTTTGGTACCCCTTTTCTCACAGCAAATCTATCTACTTTGTTGGAACTAAAATAGCGATAAAAACACTGTTTATCACATTTTGCCACTAATAGGATTGTTGATGACCACAATGGGAGCAAGTGCACTTCCTAAACATGTGCAAACATGACTTTGTAGCCATATTGTTCAGACAGATTTGTGACTTTGTGCTAAAATCTTAAAAGATTCTAAAATAGATTTAGCATTTGATATTTACATGAAAGTTGAAAGTTTACATTAAAAGTTGCCGAAACCAAATAAACATGGACAATATTGATATGTTTGTGTTGTCAGTTTTCCATGAAATTAACATCATGACAACATGTTCAAGCAGCAATAACTCTTCTGTTTGGAGTATTTATATTACTTATGCCATCTAATTTAAATATATACCTATTAGAAAATCAATTCATGGTATCTTTAAACATTAAAGAAGTCCCTGTAAGCCTGTCAACCTCTAGCATGTCAAACAATTTATTCACAACTTCACATAATTAAACATCTTAAAGCAACCTCTAGCCTGTCTAACAATTAATTCACAACCTAACGTAATTAAATGTTTTAAAGCAACCTCTAGCCTGTCTAACAATTTATTCACAACTTAACATAATTAAACATCTTAAAGCAACCTCTAGCCTGTCTAACAATTTATTCACAACTTACTATAATTAAAAGTTTTAAAGCATCCTCTAGCCTGTCTAACAATTTATTCACAATCGAACATAATTAAAATATCTTTAAAATGATAAATGAATTCCAGATCCTTATGAAGCCTACACACTATGTACCAGCATGTCTGACGTATCAAGTGGCAGAGTCAACTGGTGGACCTACATCTTGTCAGGTATTGATCACAAATACGTCCAGACAATCCCTGCAAGGCATACCCTGCCTCACTATAACATCTGTCTACTTTCCTCCCTCCTTATAACACCACATTGCTGGGGGTATTTATGCAAATGAGCTATGGGATCAAACAGCTGATCAGTCCACACTTATCTCACAATATTGTGATGGATGGGTTTAGTACTTTGTTCCAACAGACTAGACTAACATCTAGTCACTGAAGTGAACATATTTTACAGAAAAAAAGCTTTGTAAAGTATGCTAATAAAATACAGTAAAAAGGAGCCCAGAGACTTTCCTTATTCGTAGCTGTGGTAATCTAGCCTTGCCACACATTCTAGACTTCCATGGGCTGCAGTGGGTATATTTGTTTCAGGGTCTTATGACAGAATACCAACAGACCATTCCACATACATACACACATTGATTTTAAAAACATACCGCATACTAACATTTCCCTGTATATAGATCTGAAGTTCTTTTTGTAATTATATACTGTAATAAATCATTATTAAGCTTTACAGGGTATTTTATAAAGCATTACAATATCACTTTCATTTCATACAATGAAAGCGGTGGTGGATTAGCCCAGTAGTTAAAATGTTTGCTGACCATAATAAACACCAGGTTTGATTCCCAAATGGGAACCATGTGTGCAGCCCATTTCTGGTGTTTGCATTGTGTTTTTGTAAAACCTAACTCACTCTTACGATGAAAACAAAAGACAAAGACATATAAATCACTCAACACAACCTCAAAAACTACTCCCACCAGATAATGAGCAATGTATATTTTAAATGTTCATAATGCTTTCAGTTTAAGTCAAGTGTAATAACATGTGACTACAAACTGAATAAAACAAGTTAGGGATTATGATTATTTTGGGGGGTTATAACTTTATATTCCCCGAACATAGCCATGAGCCCTAATTTGGGGTTCAGTATATTTAACAAAATCTTATAAGCCTGCCTATTTATGTATATTCAATCAATATTGTTTTTAAAAATTAGTAATGTATTAACAGATGTTGTACTGCTTTCAGCATTAACTCAGCTTTTCAGGATCCCTGTATCAACCAAGAAGGTGAATATTGGACACATACATCTTCCACAAGACTGTTACAGAACATTGTAACAAAGCCTGGTCTAGCAGCATCTCAGTGGCATTCAAACAAGCTAGATGAGATACCTGGAGGATGACTCACCTGGCCAGGCTGCTCACATACAGGTAACAACCACCTGCTGATCTCACCTGGCCATGTAAGTATTACAGGTAACTCATACCAGTTGGCCATGGTATCTTTGTTATCATTACTTCCAATTTTCACATGACCAAGTTTTAAATAATCAAGCTGTCAGCATATTTCTACATATTATCCAGTGAATCATTCGTGTGAGATTAGACATCAGATAGGTTATCACTGGATAAATAACCTTAATACTAATACAAGTGACACTTTACACCATTAAAAGTATGTTTTATGATTTTCTGAAACTAACACATTTTAATCAATTACATATTCATATGTTTTATTTATTTGCTTCTTGTAATTTTAAATCATAGGTGAAACAATTTTGTTCTCTCAAACTCAAATCTATTTCCTGGTCAGGAGGAAGTAGGGTACACATGCAATTGTTTTTATAGAACACATATCTCCTAAGAAAAATGTCCTCAGGTCAAATTTACCTTGTTTTTTTACAGGCTGTGTTGAGGGTAAAAATATCTCCTTGAATTCTGCTGTCTTTAACTTATTCACATTATTTATAGACACAGATTGATTCCCTATGCAGTATGTAACAGTAATTAGAGCTGTAACTGATGTAAAGTACTCACGAAATAGAAATGAAATGTTTTTTAGCATTTATTTGTTTACTACTTCATTAAAATAGGTAGTTTTAACAAATATTAAAGTAAAATGTTTTTTCCCAACTAGGCCTTTTAATTTGGTCCTCTAATCATCATCCAAAATACCATTTTACAGGTAAAAATAACAAACATTTGCATATTGTGAACAAATTTAGAAACGTGTTATAACTTGCGTTACAATCAACAATGGGTGGCAACAACTACCTGCAGCACTGTTAAGATGGAAGATGCAATTGCATGTGCATTGTCATAGCGATTGTGCAATTGACAATCAAAGCTATGAATGAACTTGTAAACATAGTAAACTTTCAACAAGAGTACATGCATGTAAATGTAATGAGAAAATCCTTAAATCAATTATTTTGTATATCAATTAAGATAAAAGAAATAAAGGATGAATGGTATATAACTTTTTCATAAAATAAGTTATGTACGCGATCCTATGGAGATTACATCTCATTTGCATACCATATCTTGCATCAGAAAAGTACATTTTGACTTCGATGAAATTTCAAGGGGTAAAAATGACACAATTTGCTCTCTTGTAAACTCATCTATTTTGGATGATTTTACAAAAAGTGTTAAAAACAAATGTTGGGAAAAACAATAGTTATAGAATATTTAACAGTCAAACTTTAGTTTAGTTTAAAACTACGAAATAAATGCCAAGAAACATTCTATTTCTATTTCTGTGAGTACTTTAGTTTGTAGTCGCGTAACTCAACTAGTATCTCAACCAGACCCTGAAACAAACATGTCCAAAAACTCCCATGCAAATCTACAATATTTCATAAAGTCTATACTTATTCAGTTGAGAACAATTAATGAGATTCTATGAGCACCAGCCTATGACATAGGTAGGCAGGAATGAACAACAAACTCTGTTTACAACACAGATTTCTAAGGACTATGGAAACAATACTGAAACTCATATTATGCATATATACTTTTATGGTAAGAAATTTTAACTTTCAAATGAAAATATATTTTCATTTCAGATATGCTTTAGGTAATATTTAAATTTTCTTAAGGTAAAAACATCTGTACATGTAAACATTCTTCACTGGTGTCAATAAGCCATGTATTAAATATTCATATGTATTTACACCTGCAAGGCCTAGCAGTTCAGGTTTCAATATTCAGATTTTATGCCCCTACTTAAGTTTCTATCATTATGTACATTAACTCCAGCATATATGTATCAAATCATTACTTTATTAATAACTTGACAGCCAACTAAAAATTGAATGTTGTCTTTCTAATATTGTTATTGAAAAAACTTAAATGTAAAAATGATCTGAAAGTGATAAAAGCATTTCATCTGGTTTAATTTAAAAAATAGAATGCAAGGTACACTGCAGAAAAAGGACCCTGCAAACAAAACAACCCTTGGTTAACTGTCCCTCCCATATCAACCCTGCTGGCTGTTGAATACGGTTCATGCTACCATTTGAATACCCCACAGCATGCACAATGGCCTATCTTGTCTCCTCCTAAGCCAATGAGATTGCTCCTATCTGTGACGGTTATGTCAGATTCAATTTTATACTGGGGTTTTCCACAGCCTATTTAAGGAGTGGATAAAACATTTCAAGCCAGAGTGGGAATTACTATAAGCTCTGGGTGTAGCCGATATCAGAGCTGCTTGTGCTTAAACTGGAACATGAATTTACATATTTTGATATTGTACTGACTTTTAATAAAGAAACCCAGAGAATCTGTACATTTCCAGACCATTAAGTAATAAAGGGCTAAAAGTATTGCCGACTTTCGAAACATGTTTGTTAAGCATCTTTATGATACACAACAAACTGTTCACCTTTCAGACACACTAAAGTATTTTCAAGGGATCTAATTGAACTTTTAAGCTAACATATCTTACCCCTTATATATCACCCAAACATAATATGTCTTGCCAAGATTAAGGTGTTGGATAAGTATATATACATATTGTCTGTATTGTGTTGTGAAAGATATTGTCAAAAGAAAATATACAATAACATTACAGTATTACTACCTATGTAGGTAATGATTTTCTCTTTCACAGTTTAAAACCACCCTTTTACTAATCAATATAGTCTTTAATTGAAAAACTTTTTAAGCCTGTCAACTGTGCATAATGAACAGCACAAAGAGCACCTGTGTCTAAAATAAGACAAAATTTGAAAAAAAATACTGTAAAATTTGAAAGCCAATAGACAGAATTCACTGCCTATATAATATTTCTAGTCTGTCTCACAGTCCCTGAACCACATTATTTTAAGTCAAGTCTACATTTTCTTCAGGTTCCTCCTGTAAATATCAGAGCTCATGGGGGCTCCTTTTCAATGTTTCAATGGAGTTCTTTTTTTTCTATTAAAATGTCATATTTTCAGAAAATAAGCATCACTCTATTCTAACCTACATAGGTCATCTTTTACATTGGCTAAAGGCAGGGCAAAATCTAGGTATTAAAGAAGAGAAGACCCAAATCTAGGTTTTCAAGAAGAGAAAGACCCAACCTGAGTTGTAGTCTCTCACAGTCCCTGAACCACATTATTTTCCCTACTGCCTAACCCTCCCTGCAATGCTAAAGTCCTAAATAAAGCAAGTCTAGATTTCCTCAGGTTCAGGTTCTGAATCTCTGGTCTCCCTGGGGCTCCTTTTCAATATAAATGGGTTTATTTGCTACTATCAAAATTATATATATTCAGAGACTAAACTTTAGTCTAATAATATTTCAATCAATGTGAGGAAGGCTACATGGAACATTCATAGATCAAACATATGTCCCAAATAAACTTTAATGGTTCCCACAGTGATATACGTCAACAATGACAACCATTCGGTAACATTAACCTTCATTTGTGGCGATAAGTTCATTGACCTTTGTCCTTGTTTAAAATATGATATGATTCAGAAGTGAAATGGTAATAAATGTTATCATCAGAACATTAACATCAGAACTAAATCTGAAAATGCTGCCAAACATATATAGCAAATGATTAATAATCAAGTTATTGACTTTTGTACTTGTTTAAATTGTTATTTGATTGTGATGAGAAACGGTAATAAATGTTATTATCAGAACATTAACATCAGAACTAATTCTGAAAATGCTGCCAAACACATATACTAAAGGATTAATCATCAATTCAATATTTCTTGTATATTAACATATTTCTATGTTAATAATTTAATTTAATTCAACCTATTTTTTAGATTGATAACATAGGCTAAATTGAGATGGTCCTATTGCTGTTTGGAAAGTTCAATTCTGATGTTGCTTAACTTTTGACTATAAGTATACTGATTGATATTGCCAACATCTTAGTTGGAACAAACTCAAGGTCAAAGCTGAATTTGGGGATTAGGTTATTTGTGTTAGTTCCATTTTGGTAAGGGTTTAGAGCACTTGGGTACCAGTACACATAGGTTAAACTGTAACTGAAGCTTACCTGAAGATGGCGCCACTTGGCGTTCCTGCGGTGCTGCCTCTCGGTGGAGAACCTTGGATACATCAGAAAATGCCATCATTATCGCAGTACTCATATTCCATATAGCTCTACGACATAATAACAAGTTTCTCACGCAGTAATTCCACCAGTAAGAGTGTCTAGAGTTATGTAAGGATCCAACACAAAGGGTAAATTATGCACAAGATTTTGAAGTTTCCAAGGAATTTGGAGCTCTCAGTTTTAACAGTCCTGTTTAGAGGTGCAGCCTCTCCACCACCAACACTTGGATATAAACCCTCCTTGTACACTGCAAATAGTTCACTTGTCACAGTCCGTGCTCGTAACAAGGGGCTATTTCACAGATTGCTCTGAGCACAACTCACAGTGAGCTCCTGTTCACTTCACGAAACAATCCACATTACTTCCAGCAGCACAATACTCATGTGGTACTCCTAAACTCTGCAGAAGCATAAGGAATATTTGCCAGATCGGAGATTTAGTCCAGTCAATTCTAGTGTGTCTGTCATCAAATATAAATCCACAAGTCATTCACAAGACATCCATCTTTGTTCCTGTAACCATCCCAAATGTTGTGTGATGGATGAGTCCCACACGTCTGCCACTCAATGTTGTTTCTCACATGGAGTACCACCGCCTGTGTTTTCACAGCTAACACCTCCAACTCACTCTCAGACTAGGTTTGCTTCTGCTAAGGTTGACCCAGCAGGGTTGTATTTTGACAGCCAGTTACTCTCAAGCAGTCTCATGACAACAGCCTTGCTGTATGTACTCATCCACAGAAAGTCAGTTGTAGTTTGTCTGCTACCTCCTTCCTAGAGGCATACAACAACTGCAGATCCTACACTGTCCCACCCAGCAGGGTGCTTATACCTATGGCCATGTGTCTAGGTCAGTGGACTCCAACTGAGAGGTGGATCCAGGCCTGGGGGTTCGATAGAGTGTGTCAGCTCCTTGTGAGTCAGCTGATGAGATCTCAGCTTCGATATACAGCCCCCTGTCCTCTGTCTCTCACAGCCTTATCTCCCAGCACTCACCACCAAGTGGAGATTAATACCCAACAGACTACACCTTGTTCATATCACTCAAATTGTACACCTCTCCACAGAAACCATATAATTTGTTTCCTGTTTCTCACACAGTTTCTTTAACAATGGGTGTTCCAAGCTGGATTGTCCTTGGAGTTTTCTCCTACAATTTTTTCAACATCAGGTAGATCCTGTGGCTGGAACATCACTGTGAGGTACTGAGACCTGGGACTGACCCTGCAGCCGTCTGCTATGTAGCAGCAGTGAGGAATGTGGGAAACCACTTGATGATAAATCACAGCTATCCTCGGTCAGATACAGCCTTATCTTACTAGGGGCTGTAGGAGAGGGTCGCCAGGCTTGTAATGTATGTCTGCTTGAAATCATGCGGGTAGGCTCACATTTGGGTCTTGTTGAGCACACAGTCTTATCATACAATAAACACCGATTTACAACACACTTTCAGTCCCTCCGGATGTGCACTGTGTCCAGTCCAGTCTGGCTTTGATTAGCAACATTTAGAAAGATAAACGTCCGAGAGAGGTGTGCGTCTGAGGACTTCTTCTTCACTTCCTAGGACTGTCCTGACCACTTCCTACTCGGCTTGTCGTGCCCAATCCCACCTCTGTCACCAATGTAGTGTACACAACACATCCAAGAGCAGACAGCAATCAGCCCACCTCACGTTCAGCTCGTTCTCCTGATCACCTGGCGGGCTCCCTGCTCATTGATTGTAGGTCCAGATCACAACACTCCACTTCTTACAACCACACTCCCGTCATTACCTGGTCTTTCTTATCTCAGTCAACCAGGGAAGGCTCACATCCAAATTCGTGTCCCATCAAACGTACCATGGTCCCATCTCTCAACGTAAATACATGAATGTGTAGCTGAAGCAAGGGTTTGCCTATCCACACTGTCGTTCATTCTCCACACAGCTAGGCGGAAGTTACACGGGAAGAGTGAGCTATATGTGGCTTTATAACCTGCAAGCTCTCCGCACTGCCTGACCTAGGTGAGTTGCCTCCTCCCCCACACAATGCAATGCAACTCTACACCATACATTACACCTCCTGCTTTGATGTGTTTACTCCACACAGGGTTGGGAGGGAAGGAATAGGGATGTTTGGACGGGAATTTGGCATCTCATAGTTGGAAAATGATCAGGAATTGTTTATACTGTTGCTACTGGCAACATCCCGGAGAAATATTGCATGCAGACCTAATGCAAGCATAAAACTGTCAGCCTGAATATAATTCATGCATAAGAGGATCAATAAATTTTGCAGCAAGACAAAGCGGTTCTTTTGTGCTATGAAAATACCTTCGTGAAGACTTTAAATGAAATACTGAATTTTCATGCAAAAAGGGAATTCCCTACAAAAAATATTTGCTGTTTGCTTGTAGTAAAAATTATTCAAAGCATAAAATAAAACCTGTGATTGACGTCATGAGAAACAAGTTATGCCACCAAGCCTGACCACCTGATTCAATTAGTCACCTCTTACAACATCCTAGGAATACTGGGGGTCTAACCCAGATCCCCAAGGGGGAGGTTATATTTACATCATGACCAAAATGTCCTGCTGCTTCAATTCAAGATGTTACTCAACCCCAAGATATGAATGAGACTTTGTTTGCAGAAATGACATAATTCCTGTGGGACACTTTAAAGAAAAACGGCCTTAGTTCTATTAGCATACCCTGCTAAAATCAATCAAATATTGTATTTTCCCTGAAAAATCTATAACATCAATCTCACACAAACAAAGGCTAGTGTGAGGTTGCTCTAGCAACAGTTTCAAAAGAAGGCTTGAAAACCTATCGATATTGGACAATCTCCCATGGGAGGATTATCTAATCTATAAAATTGTAATCTGAATGAAAGGAAAGAGGGAATGGTGGCTGCAATATGTGAAAGTCATTACATAATACAATGCAATTTGCATAATTATTTGCGGTTCCAGCTGAATTGAAGTAAAAAGTTCTTAAAACAAAATGCTGTTTGGTTCCGAAATAGAAGACTCCATTAACATTTAACTCTTTTAATATACATATTTTGTCCTACATTTTTTTGACACAAATGGTGCTAGTAGCTGGTGCTTAGCTTTCTTGCAAACACCTGGTGTCCTAAGGTATTTTAGTGATACAATCATAGAATTTTCACCTCTGTTTTGCCTTTTTTACCCAGTGAAATTATGACTATGTCAATCACATTCATCACCAGGTTAACTTTCTAGATACTTTCAATTTCCTACATGATGACAATGTACCCTTGTGGGGAATCGAATTGGGTCTTTGGCATGACCAGCAAATGCTTTAACCACTAGGCTACCCCATCATTCCAGGTTTTATCATTTTCTTGGTCCTTTAAGAAACCTACTTTATGATGAACTCAGTCTGCGATATGTTTACAAATATGGACAGGAGTTCTCAAATTCAGGATCAAACATTTCCTTCAGCATGTGCTGTTTCCATCAACACTGGACATAAGCTACATAAGTTCCGATTCTCGCCGGAGTTCACCTCCATCAATCTCCTTCAAGTTCCATCTCTTACGACCAGTCTTTCAAGACCCTGCTTTAATAACCCCATGTATCCTTCTGAACACCATCATCAAATATTCCCACAATTCCCCTGGTGTACACTAGGACATTAACCTTCAGAATTTGAAGTCAGCTCCCGAGTGTTCAGCTCCTGCTAATGTTTCCCTATCAACTAACGTTCCCCTATCAAATAATGTTACTTGCTAACCCTCTGTATGACCCAGCAGCATCGTGTTTCAAACAAGGGGTTATCAGTAAAGGAAACATGTCCAAACAAGACTGAAACTGTCTTCTTGTCAACATTATCAAATATCCTGATACCGAAGCAATAATTCATTACTCTAAGGAATGGTAACATGAAATAGAATATGCATATCAACACTCAGATTCTTCAAGAATTTGACACGAAAACAAGGCATTTTCACCTTCAACATGCTGTTACCCTAAAGACTAATTATTTTAATTTCATGTCAGCGTAACCATGGAAACAAAATTAAAGTGTCTCTATGTAGAATAGCAAATAAAGTTAATCTGAACTGTAACATATCCCCGACTGCAGTGATATAATCAGAAAGTGATCATCACTGATAATTAAGTCTATTAACACAACTGACTCAAGCAACATGTTCAGTAATGGAAGAAAAATACAACAAACCCTCTCCATTCCTTTCAAGGTTAAGTGAAGAAATCTTCTCACCTAATATCTCCCCACACAACATTACAGCATCAAACACAGTCCACTGATTACAATATCATCTCCATTTCCATCCTGACACCCAGCTTTTCTTGCTATCAGTATGACAGTTAAACACTATCAACAGTATGGCTACCATGGGCAGCTTTCACTGACCACATCTGCCCTCGTCATTATCTTACATTCAGCATATCAAATTGCTCTCAAAGCTACAGTGTGATGGTGTGGGTCTACACAGACTTCACATTTTGAATTATTTATTGTGAAGACCACAACTAACTTGATTTCATTGTGCAGCCTGACACCTGTCCACTGAGGAAACTCTTAGTTGATAAATGATTTATCACATAGCTGGTATGATATGCTCAATGTAGCTGAAGATGAGAACTGCCTCCCTTTGTGTATGTTAGTGATGGTGACAGAGTTCAACTCTTTCATATATGTTAGTGATGGTGGCACAGGGTTTAATTCTCTCATATATGCTACTAATGGTGACACAGGGTTTAACTCTTTCATATATGTTTGTGATGGTGACATAGGGTTTAATTCTCTCATATATGCTACTAATGGTGACATAGGGTTTAACTCTTTCATATATGTTAGTGATGGGGCATAGGGTTTAATTCTCTCATATATGCTACTAATGGTGACATAGGGTTTAACTCTTTCATATATGTTAGTGATGGTGACATAGGGTTTAACTCTTTCATATATGTTAGTGATGGTGACATTGGGTTTAACTCTTTCATATATGTAGTGATGGTGACATAGGGTTTAACTCTTTCTCATATATATACTAATGTAAGGGTTTAACTCTTTACGGTGACATAGGTTTTAACTCTTTCATATATGTTAGTGACGGTGACATTGGGTTTAACTCTTTCGTATATGTAAGTGACGGTGACATTGGGACTAACTCTTTCATATACGTTAGGGATGGTGGCATAGGGTTTAACTCTTTCATATATGCTAGTGATGGTGACATAGGTTTTAACTCTTTCATATATGTTAGTGATGGTGACATTGGGTTTAACTCTCTCATATTAGTTAGTGATGGTAACTTGGTGTTTAACTGGTTAATACACTTGGCCCCAGAACAAAGTGTATTTATCTGAAATACTTTCAACAGTTTCTAGTTTCTGTAGGCATAAATCCTTGCCCTTAACAACCTGCCTTTGCTGTGGTGCACCGACTGACCTCTGCTGCTGAAGCTGATAGCATCCCAGCTGAGGGGACTGCATCTACTCTGTATGATAGCACTTCAAAGATAAGCAGATTGAGTGGAAATGATAGGCAGAGTGACCCAAGTCAGAACCTTCTTGACCGTTATCTGTCTAGCCAGTGGCCGCTACTCCACCCAGACTCAAAGGTTTTATAAAACGTTTCTGTCACTTGTTTGTTATTGATGCTACTGTGCTGTTTGAATGAGTGAGTGAGGTTTTACAATACATTTAGCGATACGCCATCTATCATAGCAGGAATGAACTTCATACTTGGTACCATGAGGGGAAATCAAAGTCCTGACTGTGGTCTGCCCAGCAACCTATGAATCACACACTCTTCCCCAGTGGCTAAATATACCGATACCCTTGACCTTAACTTGTTGACAATGTTCCCCTTCAAAATCATCCACATAACTTCTGAATATCTTTTTGTTTGTTTGTTTGTTGATTAGCTCCGCACTCAGCAATATTCCAGCTATATGGTGGCGGTTTATAAATAATAGAGTCGGGACCAGACAATCCAGTGATCAACAGCATGATCTGAATTTCTTTGAGTGTGAATAACTCAAAACATTCTCATTGCTGAATAGTTGTTTGAGGTTTCACTGTAATCTATTTCCTGAAACACTAAAACCTTGTTCTATCATAAACAAAGATTTCCAAATCTGTAATTGCTATGTAGAACTTGGTCTACAATGAAAAGGACAAACACTTGTTACAGTCTGTAATGACTGACTGACTGAGTTTGGTTTTACGCCGCTTTTAGCAATATTCCAGCAATTTCACGGCGAGGGACACCAGAAATGGGCTTCACACATTGTACCCATGTGGGGATTCGAACCCGGGTCTTCGGTGTGACAAGCCAACACTTTAACCACTAGGCTACCCCACCGCCCCACAGTCTGTAATGACATTTAAGGGCTACATCCAGGCTTGCTGACTTGATTGACACATCATTATGTCATCATGTCTCTATTGCATAGATCGAAGCTCATGCTTTTGATCACTGGATTGTCAGACCTGAATATTACAGACTGTCGCCATAGAGCTGGAATATTGCGGAGTGCAGCATCAAACAACAAACAAACAATCCTGACCCCTTGAAGGTTCAAGAGGCACCCGTCACACCGAAGACCCGTGTTCGACTCCCCACATGGGTACAATGAATGAAGCCCATTTCTGGTGTCCCCCGCCGTGATATTGCTAGAACATTGCTAAAAGCGTCGTAAAACCAAACTCAGTCAGTCAGTCAAGAAGCCGCCACGAAATGTTGTAGCAAACACAAAAGAAGTTGTCATCCACAAGTAGATTCTTGTCTTCCTACCCTACCAAACACATACCTGATAACAAAGACGAGTCCAGCCAGTCGACCCACAAGTCATTCCAAAGAACATTCTACTGATACTATCCACCATCAACTGTATAAAACACACGACTAAGTTCTGTCCACAAAAAACATACAACAATGTTTCTTCTTAACCATAACCAGTTGTAAACATAAGCAAAAACAAATTTCAGAAAAAAACCACTGACAATAGGCCATTGTGATGGAAATAGGTACTGTTTTCTGGAACCAAATTCCATTTGGACAACTCATCGTCCATGTGTGACTAGGTGCTGCTCTTCATACAAGACATAGAAGGAAATATTTACCAACACTTAATGATGTACCGATTCCCCCTGCAGATTGATGACAGATAGGTACAGATGGGGGATATACGTCTACACACAGTGATGCCGAGATCATATCACACCTCTTCACACTGCCGACTACATGCCATTAGGAACACTACGCTCCACCTGTTAGTAAACACATTTTCCACATGGGTGGAGTATGGTCTGATAAAAATAAGGTTGTTTTTCAGAGTCTATTAGCTTGGGACTCATTTCTTTTACAAACACCACAGAAACTAGGTCAGAAAACTATTGTCAAATTTATATCTGATCATATATGCCTGATTTACACCAAAACCAAAAAAGGGCCAGTGAGGTAATTTACTAACCCCAACACAATTCTGGACCTCCTTATTGTTTTCAAGTCAAACTAGGTAGTCTGCCATAAAACATTACCTACAGTACTGTGAAATAAATCATGTGTTTTGTTAGTTATTTGAGTAGAAAAACCTATGTCAATGTCTGTTTTAGATCTTTGGAATTTTTTTAATTCTTGCACATAGTTATTATGATGAAATCTATTGAAAATAAAAGATGTTGTTTCCCACATTTAACACCTATTGATTAAACACAGTTGATTTATTAGTAACATCTATAAATTCAAATCTGTTCCAGCTGATAACACAAATTAAGAAAGCATAAAATAGCGTACTTCTAACTTACATCATAAATCATTAAATATATTGTTTAGTTGCTATTCCATTCTGCATAGCGCTATTTAAAGGTTCCTGCAACTATATCTAATAATAATGGCTCTGTACTATTTATTTAAATCAAATTACAATAATTCACTCTCACTGATAGAGTATGACATATGTAGACTATAAATATCTACTGCCAAGGTTTTGCAAAAGATAATAGTTGTATTCTTTCCAAACGGTGTTTAATGTCGAGCATCAGAACATTACTCCTTTTACAGAAAAACACAAATAGCCTGAAGACAGTTATATGTCTAGAATCTCAGCAAGAATGTGATTATTGTAGTATGGCAATAATCATCATTTTGTCCTTGTTACCTGAGGCGCAGGAGTGGTGAATGTGATCAACAGATACCTATCTTTATTTACAGGTGTGAAGGAGGCTGTATGGAGTTTGTCTGACAGCAAGTGTTACCAGGTGGAGGGGAGCTGGGAAGGTGGTGAGAGGAGTTTACTAACAAAATGGCAGTCACTCAGTACAGTGTTTTGCCAAACCCAAGGTTGGAAGGGGCAATGAGGTCTTCTTTTTCCTGTTGATGATGGAAAATGATTTTTCCTGTTATCATTAATGCTTGAATAGAGATTAAACACTTGGCAAAACTTTCCAGCAGTATTCCAAAACACAACAGTTCTCTTGTTTTGTATCCTCTGCACTTTCAGTTCCTTGTAGGGATTGTTTACACTTGATAACTCGCGATTGTCCAGAGTTGCAGGTTTCTTGTTTGTTTAGTATCCGTAACCGATGTAGATGAGAATCCGTTGTCCTTGATCTGAAGTCTCGGTTTGTTTGTTGTACAATCCAGTAACACATCTACACTGGTATATATCCACCGTGATACCATCGTCAAGTGTGTCATCAATATTAAACATGTGAAACACGTGCAAGGTGTGAAACAACAAACTAATACACCTGGACACTCAATTGTATAATGTTACTACATAATATCCAAACATAATAATTGATCAACATTAATCACAATAATTATTGAAATAACAAAAAGTCATATTTACATTATCTTACTGCTGGAGCTGTAAACCTCATGAGATATATAACTACATTATCCCTAAAATATATTTCACACTGTAACTGTTATACATTAAACTATTTTAGAAATGAGATACAGAGATATGATAGTTCGAGATAGACCTGTAACACCTACAAATGAGATAAATTGATGTGATTAACACATCAGAGCTATTAACAAGTGTGTGAGCTGTAACACCTATATTGGAGATAAAAAGCTGTAACACTTCTATAGGAGATGAAGAGCTATGATATAAAACACTACAACAGCTCGAACTAGGCATCTATGAGATATGGAGTTGTAACATCTATGAGATAAAAAGTCATAACACCCCTGAGATCTTCAGCTCCAACACATTTAACACAAACAGCTGCATCACCTACCCGTCGACTCTTGTCACAGATCGAAATCTGATCCTTGCAATTGTGCTCGTGAACATACATCAGGCAATCTGAAAACATAATTAACATAAGTATCAATCTAAGTATTAACTCTATGCCAAGATGAAAATCATTTCAACCCCTATTTTCACAATTACCTCCAGTTTTTCACACACCTCCCATCTAAAACACCAAAACATAACTATACCGATAACAAAAAATCTATTTTTCATTTTTTATTCTTTTAGCCGCCAAGCATGTAGTGTTTCAAGTACAAAGCGTGTCTAACAAAATAGCCAGCTCTACACATAGAGGTCTGTTGTGTCTCACAATGCCTTCACAAAACATTGAACACCCAACAATCCATGCTGAAGATATATTTTACCTCCAGCCAAACCTCCAGCAATACCACACACTCCTCACTGCCAAGTGCCCTCAACTCCTAACGTGACCTTTGACTCTTCAAACACAACAAAATAGTCTCCACAACATCAAAGTGAACTCCATATGGACCCAATCAGAAGCATTTCAAACCTGCTCTGTGAAAGATACAAGTCTGGAATTTAATCTGCTACACAAATTGCCTTTTGACATGAGCCAGTTTGGGGAAATCTCTCTATCCCTATTGTGCAATATCTGACCTTAGGGGTCACACTGGCACATGGCTGCCAAGATGGGCAGCCCAATAGTCTCAAAATTTAAACACAAATGGTGTGACTGTTGTATGTTGGTTGGTGGTGACTGAGACCCTGTTTGTGAGGGGAATGTGTTCGGGGTGTGATAACACTTTCACACTCTGGCCTAATTGCTTGACTCACAGAATCGATGTCACTGATAAATTATAATGGACGACAGTGTTTCTATCTGAAAATCAAAAAGTTTTCAACATTTTTGTCATTCTTGTTGAAAGACGTTATGAGATCTGGGGATTATACAGTTTTAGAATTGTTGGAGTACAATTATTTGTACAGTGTGTTTTCAACAACAGTTGAAATTTGCTGAAAATGCATTCTTCAACAACAATTATGTTCTTAACCGTATTTTCTAATGCAAACAAGTTTTGTTTTTAAATTCCAGTAACTCAATATTGCACTTACACAATGTTCATTACATGTGATGCCACTCATTGTCTAGGATACCAGATCCTTCAAAATTCACATTCACATTATAACCAGAAAAATATTCTTTTTCACATTATGAAGCAAACCAAATAAAATAGAATGCACATGATGTGAAAGCTCTCATTTAGTTAGAGAGGTGACTTCCATGTTTAGCTTTCAATACATCGGTTCTATTCTCCATGCAGTGCAGTGAAAGGTGTCCTTAATAGAATTGAGATCTCATAACTATTTCAGATTTAAATCATGCAGCTATTTTTGAATTTTCATAGTATACTTGCAAAAGTAACAGCATAAAAGTTTGCATCATTTAAAGTACATAAAAGTCTCATGTTCAAACTTTAAAACATACACAACTGAAAACATCTTAACATGCTGTAAACAAAACAACTGAAACCATCTTAACATGTTGTAAACAAAACAACTGATACTGATAGCATAAACTCATATCACCAATTTCTAAAACAGTGTCCTGGAAATCGAAAGTCTCAGCCTGTCCATTTATGTTTCCCCTTTAACACTGTCAGTATGCCAGAAGTATTAATACCCACAGAAAACAGGATTAGACTTCAGGAAATAGTTCTAAAACTGAAAACTAATAAATTACAATCTCTTCCACTTTTTATGCTTATTCTATTTAATTTAAGGCAAGCTCATCCGCAAAATGAAATCGGTTCCACTTTTTATGCTTACCCTATTTAATTTAAGGCAAGCTCATCTGCAAAACAAAATCTATTCCACTTTCTCTAAAAATTTTTTTACTCAATTTAAGGCAATATAGACCATCAGTGCAAAAGATCACCCAGTCTTGACTATCTTCAGAAACAAATTCAGTTTGGTGTATGGTGGAAAATAGCTTCAAATATTATATGTATAGGTCACTGAAAATCAGTGATGACACCAGGTGTTCGGGGGAAGGGGGGTGTTAAACATGTCCTGCCCTACCGGTAACAAACTCATCTGCAAAACAGGGAAACAATTGGTTTGAGATAAGTCTTACTTTCACACTGTAGAGCTGGTTTATTGGCCATAGGCTTGTGACACACATCACATGTGGTAGAGTTGCTGATGGAGACACTCACAAACTGGTGATGTGTGCTGGCCTTCGACTTGCCTTCCTTGTCTTTGCTCTGAAAGAATAACACAACCACATCACTCACATGAACCAGCAGTGAAATATCAAGAGATTATGTCAGATACATGTACCCCTGGTGATCATATAGGGGATGATTGTACTGAGGTTCATTGTACACATGACCATCATATAGAGGATCATTCATTATACAAGGGATCATTGTAAGGAGGACCATCATACAGGCAGTGTATATCCGGGGAACTATGGTACAGGGGCTCATTAAACCATGGACCATCATACAGGCAGTGTATATCCAGGGAACTATGGTACAGGGGCTCCTTAAACCGTGGACCATCATACAGGCAGTGTATATCTGGGGAACTATGGTACAGGGGCTCTTTAAACCGTGGACCATCATACAGGCAGTGTATATCCGGGGAACCATGGTACAGGGGCTCCTTAAACCGTGGACCATCATACAGGCAGTGTATATCCAGGGAACTATGGTACAGGGGCTCCTTAAACCGTGGACCATCATACAGGCAGTGTTTATCCGGGGAACTATGGTACAGGGACTCCTTAAACCATGGACCATCATACAGGCAGTGTATATCTGGGGAACCATGGTACAGGGGATCCTTAAACCATGGACCAAGGACCAGGCATTCATCATTCAGGGGACCATGGTACAGGCATTCATCATTCACAGGACCATGGTGCAGGCATTCATCATTCAGGAGACCATGGTACAGGCATTCATCATTCAGGAGACCATGGTACAGGCATTCATCATTCACAGGACCATGGTGCAGGCATTCATCATTCAGGAGACCATGGTACAGGCATTCATCATTCAGGAGACCATGGTACAGGCATTCATCATTCACAGGACCATGGTGCAGGCATTCATCATTCAGGAGACCATGGTACAGGCATTCATCATTCAGGAGACCATGGTGCAGGCATTCATCATTCAGGAGACCATGGTACAGGCATTCATCATTCACAGGACCAAGGACCAGGCATTCATCATTCAGGTGACCATGGTGCAGGCATTCATCATTCACAGGACCATAGTACAGGGGAAAATCAAACTGAGGATCATTGTACAGTGTTAAACAACACATCATAACAAGAGGAACTTATCTGACTTACTACAGGCTTGAACTCCAAAACACAACCCACAATAAGACCAAACTTTTCACAAAAGCAGAATCTCTGTAAAATCCTGGTTCAAGCACCTGCCATGTGTAATACCAAAGCTGCTGCAGTGGAATTGGGTAACTGGTTTCAACTCAATAAAACTGTCACAGAATCTAATTAGGCAGGACATAGAGCCAACACATTCTGTTCTGCTGCACCCATGGCCTAACTCAACTGAAGGATGATACCAGTGTCCTCCTACTTGAATGTCTCAGACACACTTCAGGCTTACAGCTGTTGGATACACTTCATGCTTGTACTTTAATTGGCTTAAAGAACAGTTAGGAATGGCACTCTTTGACACTCCTTCCTGGCCAATGCCATGATTTAAGTCAATTCTTGTAGTGAGTCAGTACAAGCCACTGCTCAATGTAGCATCTGTTCAAAGCAACTGTTTTCCTGATTATTCGTAGTTAATTCGCAACAAAATCATCAATAACCTTTCACAAAGATTTACATAGAATAGGACCAGTAAATAGGAGACAGTACAACCCTAAGAAAACTTCATTCCTGAAAACACACAACCAACGTCCAACATGCCCGTTATATTTCTCTACCCCATCTGTCTCAGTCCCTGAACCGCATTATTTCCACTTCCAGCAATGCAAATGCCCTAAATAAAGCAAGTCTACATTTTCTTCAGGTTTCTCATGTAAATATCAGAGCTCAAGGGGGCTCCTTTTCAATTTAAATGGAGTTCTTTTTTTTCTATTAAAATGTCATAGTTTCACAAAATAAGCATCACTCTATTCTAACCTAGATAGGTCATCTTTTACATTGGCTAAAGGCAGGGCAAAATCTAGGTATTAAAGAAGAGAACACCCAAATCTAGGTTTTCAAGAAGAGAAAGACCCAACCTGAGTTGTAGTCTGTCTCACAGTCCCTGAACCACATTATTTTGCCTACTGCCTAGCCCTCCCTGCAATGCTAAAGTCCTAAATAAAGCAAGTCTAGATTTCCTCAGGTTCAGGTTCTGAATCTCTGGTCTCCCTGGGGCTCCTTCTCAGTTTAAATGGGTTTGTTTGTTACTATCAACTTATATATATTCAGAGACTAAGAGTTAGTCTACCTGAGTTGGTACACTTGATTGACAAAACCTGTGGAAAACAATAGCCACACACAATGCAGTGTAGTCCTGTCTATGCTGAACTGCTGTGAGCACTACAGACAGACATGTGGTGGATGTTAACACAGTTCCCGGACTGGGGGCCCATGTGAGGTGCTGTCCGCCTCAACTGATGCATGTGCAAGCTTCCTGAATATTTTATAATCATTCACATATTTTCAGCAATTATAATCCCAAAATACATGGCTGAACCTGTTTAAATTTTTTTTTGCATTGAATAGTTTATTAGGAACATTTTTGCATGACACCGAATAATAACAGAATTCTGCATTGAATGCTCCCTTGCCCATACCGTGTTCATGTTCAACATGCATCTTCAGTCAGTTGGAAAAGAGTGATCCTACCATCAGATTAGATAAATAATATATTGATAAAATGTAACGGTAAGTAGTTTTATTTATGATACATTTATAACGACACCACCAGATCAATACACATGATATTTTCTTAATGCCATAAAGAATCATCTTACCTTCAGAAAAGCTTTTTTGGGAGCATGATTTTTAATGCGGAAATATGTTGGCTTATTTCAAAATGCATCAAGGCTGAATTGTTAAATCTGAAATTTATCTCACACTAACATCACTCAAGCACCCACATACTCCACTGATTCACTTCCATCACCTGATACCCAAACTGCCATCCCCCCAAGCACAACACCCCCACCCCTATCAACTCACTCACTCGCTCACTGCACCCTAAGCCAGCAGGAACATCTGATGTCTCTGCCAGAGTGTTTGTTTAACACAGGAATGCTCTATCCTACAGCAGTGCTTAAATCATCATCCAACATCATCACTACCCTGTCTAATTCAGGACAAAACTGGAATGTTCACATCCACACATTTCTTTCCTTCAACCGCTACATACTCCCTCACATCATTGTGTATCAGACAACATACAATGGCTTACATATCTATACAAACATACACACAGCCCTGTATAAACAAGAACACAAGGTCCTTGATATCTCTCACTCGTTTAACTAAGTGCACAAAATACAGTACGGCATGCACTTTTTTATTCAAAATGAATAGTCCTAAAGACTTTAGTACTTATTACCAATGTCAAACAAGAAGACAAAGTCATCAATATCCCCTCAATGGCAAAATACTCTTCATGATTATGTCTACAAGTTATGATTATGTCAAATATTTAGGTGTGTATATAGAAAAGTGGAAGGAGAGTATTGAAAGGTTTTTAAAGTTCTGCTCCAGAAAATAGCACTATCACCAATTTCAGTCAAAGTGAAACTTTTTGCCATGGAAATGCCAAAATATTTTATTCAGAATTCCAAAACTACCAAAAGGCACCAGTACACCACCAGATATATGTATGTGCCAAGTTTGGTGAAGAAACATTGAACGATTTTAGAGTTCTGCTCCAGAAAAGAGCACTACCACTAATTTCCAAAACTACCAAAAGGCACCAGTAGACCACCAGATCTATCTATGTGCCAAGTTTGGTGCAGAAATAGTGAACAGTTTTAGAGTTCTGCTCCGGAAAAGACAAAAGTGCACGGACGCACGCACGCACGGACAGAGTCCATTTTTAAAAAAAAACGATAATGCATTGCGGGGGATAATAATCAGCAATTTATGAGTCAAGCTCTGGAAACAAACATAAAGGATTGATGGATGAATGGATGGAGCAAAAACCTGCAAAACCTCAGTTTGACCATAAAACATAATGACCTCTTATTTGAGTGAGTGACCATGATTTTATGACCCTTTTAGCAATGTGTGCTAAATATCACAATAGAGGACTTAGCTTCACATACTTTACCTATCAGGGAATCAAACCTCAGCCTTTATAATGATGAGCAAACACTTCAACAACAAGGCTACACTGCATAAACATTATGGATATTGCAACTGCATTGCTGTCAATTCTCACCAAGTCCCAATAATAAAGAAAATTAAATAAAAAATGTAAGAAATTCTTCCCCTGATGAAAACAGTCATACAATCACATCAAATATTTCTTCTTAATCCCTAACACCTTCCACACAATTTTCAACAAAATATACCTCCATATCAAGCTCTTCTAATTAACCATCTGTTTAACTGTTTGAATTCTAACATGCAAGATGTTTATAACCACCAAGATATAATATGCTACCCTGTATATCCTGTATATTCCACGTCAAACTTGCAATTCCATCCAGAAGGAAAGGAAACTGCACATTTTCTCCCACAAAAAAATACTCCAGGTGTGTCAAGTCCTGGCAGATTTTCAGGAGTCAGTTTGGTATTGGTAATTGCATTTTCACTGTCTACACGTCGAGTATATGTACAGGCAAGTTTAGCAGCAATGTTCTATCTGTGTTGCATATCGGCAGTTTACACCCCTGTTTAGCCTCCCTAGTTATGACAGCCAATCACCATTCATCATCATGTGCGAGAGTGTCAGTTTGCAGACTTGACGTTAATGCGCTTGTGTTAGTAGATTATCAGAAACATTCCACAATGGAGGAATTCTTGCCAGCCATAAAACACAACGCAACAATTAGAAAAAGGTATGGAAAAAGAGAGACAATGAGCTGTAAGTACTGATAGACAATGAGCTGTAAGTACTCCTGACTCAACAATACTCAGCTATATGGCAGCAGTCGGTAACTAATCAAGTCTGGAGCTAACAATCCAGTGACTGACATCATGAGCATTGATCCTTGCAACAGTAATGATGACCTGCAACCAAGCCAGACCATCCAATCAACCAACTCA